CGGCAGATTTTTTCACTTTGAAATCAATTTTTCTACAAATTCCCATATCAGGAAAAAATCATGAAAAATACTGCAAACGCAGTTCTTAAGCACTTTCAGATGCAATGGAACCACTTTTTCATGCAAATTCTTCATGAATGAAACGTGAAAATGTTGATGCCCGACGCGAGGGAGTGCCTTCTGTACTCCTGCCGCACAGTAAATCGAGTCAGTGAGAGAGGCCGGGCAACATTTGGAAACTTTGAAAGCTTCCAACTCCGTTCATACACAACTTTGATGTCTTAAAAATGGTTTCATTGGTTTCCTCGTTAAATTTTCTCCCAGAATCACCCATTAAAATTTAAAATGTGACGAATTAAACATCAAATTTTGCAGTTTTAGTTAAAATTTGCATTTCCAACCTCTCAGATTGACTCGAACCACTGTGCGCCTATGAGCCTGGTTCCATGGCCGAAACTTTCCAACGAAACATCATGAAATCGAAACCCCTCGTTGACACCATTCGGACGTATTTCTGCCAAACGGGACTATATGCATTAGGACGTAAGACCTGAGACCCATAAGAATATATGCAAAACAGGGCTCACGTCAAAATGCACATAGTTCCGTTTGGCAGAAATACGTCCATTTCACGAATCTGCATGTCGAGGCGTGGGCGGAACTATGTGCATTAGGACATGAGACCTGAGACTCGTGAGAATATATGCATACCAGGGCTCACGTCATAATGCACATAGTTCCGTTTGACAGAAATACGTCCATTTCACGAATCTGCATGTCGAGGCGTGGGCAATTTTGCGCGATGGCAGACCGCGCGAAGGAACCGACAATGGGACGCTTTGGCGCGCTGCGTCCGTTCACTGGAGCTTTGCCGGGGCCGGGGGGCCCGAGGGGTCGCCAAATAAGGTGCTCTCAAAGCTCCTGCGAAGAGGCGCCGAGGCTGAAAAAGGCCGTGGCGGAGGGGGCGGCCGCCGTGGCTCTCGGCTCCAGAACAGTCGTAGACAATGTCTCGCCGTCGCCGCTGCAAAATTCCAAATAGGATTCACACTCGCACCTAGGGAAATGCATAATCATGGCCGTTTCGCAACCTCCAGCTCCGAACCTGTGCGAGCCCCAGCTCATCGTTCTCGGGCATCGTCGTGTCAGCGGGCTGATTATTGAAATTTATAGACAAAGCGATTGACAAACAGGGTGTCTAGCAACAGGAAAAACCGGAAAATATCAGGAATTTTGACCGATCAGGAAAAAATCAGGAAAATCGGACGTTTTATCAGGAATTTTTCTTACACGAATCTCCTCAGCGGAGAAAGTCTTACTGCTTTTTGCTTACCGTGCCAGGAGTCGAGAAAAATCAGGAAAATATCAGGAATTTTCAAAATGAAAAAATCAAGAATTTTGTATAGAATATCAGGAAAACTCAGGAAAGTATCAGGATTTTTCAAAATTAAAAAAATACTTGACACTCTGACAAAGAAGACAGGGAGTATGGAGTAATTCCATTGGTTGAAACGGGTGGTTCTTATAGACTAAGGGGAAAAGTGATGGACTAATACTGAAGGGTCTCTTGTCGGTTGCCGTTGGTTAGTCTATTACCTACCTCCTTTGACCATTGCAACCACTCGCTTGCACCAAGAGGATCCCTCCAAATCCTTTTTATCTTTTTTGTTTGTTGCTTTGTCTATCAATTTCAATAATGGATCCATAGGGAACGGAAAATCTTTGAGAAAATCAGAGAATCCACCCGGAGATAGGTCTTAAAATCTCAGGATTTGCCTCTTTTTGTTTCGAAAATGTTTTGTTTGTTATGATGGTTTATCTGCGTCGATTCACCGATTCAGAGCCACTTGAAAGGTTTAGAAAATCAACAAATGTGCTTTAAGCTCCGGAGAGTACTCTGGTTTTGCGAAAAGATCTTGAAGAAAGTGAGAGGAAACATCTTGTTATCATCGGGGACTTGTCTCCAAAAACAGGAAATGAGACCATTTAAAACCTCAGTCATCATGCACCAAGTAAGATTACTGGAAAGTAATATTAGATAAAAGTTGTTAACTTGAGTTTTAAACAGTAACCTTTGAAGTTAAATAAATTAATTAATTTTAGTAAGTTCATAACCTAAAGATTTAGTTAAAGTACCGCAATAATATTAATTTGTCAGATTAAAGTTAGACCATAAAAATCTAATCCTTGAAGAAGAAAAGACAAATAACTAAACAAAAGTACGTCAATTACACTGATAAAATGATTAAACTAATTATCTTTGTCCTTAATATAAACAATTTATATAATGCTATTTATCAATCAACCAAAAGTTAAAAATTAATTAAAATTAACTTTTTAAAAAATATAATTAAATGCAGGCTAGAAAAATTATATAAATTTATTATAAGTAAGGATGAAAATCTTTTACCTTTTGTATCAGGGTTAATTTGTTCAGAAAATTTGTTTCCCGAATTCATCCATTATATCAGAAAATTCAAGGGAAATAGTGTGCATGACTTTCCTCAGGAATACAAGTTTTATCCGGGGAACTTTGGCAACTCTAGAATGTACATACGACGTTCTAAGCACGGCAGACAAGGCCCCTGAAGTTAGTGACATCGTGCTGTCAACCTTTCAGTAAATTCATGAGGGTCGTGGTCCTTATACACACACGCTGTACAGTTTCAAGTGAATGCTCATCAAAGAAGGTCGTGGTCATCTAAAAGTCAAAAACCTTGTTGTTAATGACGGAGGTAGTCCCATGACACCTCTCTCCCTACTTACGAGACATTTGCAAACAGAGCATCATTTTGGCAGCGGCCTAAATCAGCCCATTACGCCGCGTGCATCGATCTCAGGTCGAACCAAACCAAAACGCCTTCATTTGTGAACGTATGCAACACGGACATCCGGAGAGCGCGAATAATTGTATCATCAACGCCGTGCCGCGGGATCCTTTGCGGCCGTGAAACCGTGGTATTTACTGAAGTTGGTCAGGCGATTTTTTCTGTTTTACTCCTGTTACTAAACATTACACGGTTATTATTAATTTTTTTTAAAAAAAAACTCACTCGCACGTAAAATATTAATTTGCGAAACGCGTCCGCAAATTAATATTTCAAGCGCAAGTGAGTTTTTTTTAAAAAAAAGAGTTACTGATCATTTGTCTTGTGCGGGTCTCCAAAAGTTTTATTGATTACTCAGTGACCTGGTTTTTTTTCGATATTGTAATTTCGTTTTTTAGTAATTGTATATTGACTTTATATGACTTTGTCGTATCCAACTCAAACTGTTAAAACTTCTGTTAAAACTTCTCTGTATTCGTTGCAAATTGGAAGACGTCAAAGAAGGATTCCAAACGTAAGAACCGTCGCTCGTTTTGCAAGTCTTCGCAGTAGTTACTCTCACATAGCATGAAGTTAGAGTGTAATGGAACTGGAATACCTCTGCTTTTGTGAGCAAATGAAGATCCTTTGTTGGTTGCATCAGTGCCGATGATAAGGGTAACCTTGAAAAAAATTTTGAAAGATCAAAAGGGAAGGAAGGCTCTTTCTTGAAGAAGAAAGAAAAAAAAGCCGCAATTTTTTCAACATAGGAGTAGATTATTTGATTCTTTATACGTACATAAAGCCGCTTTTATAGCGCAGCCTCGCGCTCTGCGACGCCCAATCGCCATTGCCCCCTATCCTCCCAGAGATCATCAGGCAATTGGCACCTTCTGATCTCCTCCTCCACCCCTTTTCTTTGATTCTTGATTCTTTATACTGCATTCAAACTGACAGCCTCAGCAATTTAGGAGCTTGACTGACTTTTCTTTGAAACTCTTAAAAGAAGATAGATACACACAGTAATGTATTTCGGCCTCAGACTGCTTTTATATTCGGACCTAATCTTATAGAAATGAATCAATCTACTTTTCCTTAAAAATTGAGCTCATAATGGTATTGAGCTCCACTAGTCCTTTTATTTATTCCTGCCAATTTTTTTCTTCTTCTTTAAATGAAAGAAAATGTTTTAAATTTTCCGGAAAAAAAGAAACTTCATAACTTTTTTTCTTACGTTCCCTTCGACAAAGGTCAATTCCTGTTCGATCAACTCGGTTAATTTGCGTCATGTGCAAAATGCCGTCGTCCCCAAACAGTCACTTTGCATCAAGAGAAAAAGATTGGCCTTTTGCGCTGTTAACTCTTTCCACTCTCATTCATTAGTGAGTATTGACGCTCTAAGTCCTCTCCCACAAGACACAGCGCTCGAACAATGAACAATAGGTAAAGGGTGTGGTTCAAGCCGTATCGGTAAGCTCAAAAAGTGGTGACTCCCAATAAAACGACATCTAGGGCGAGGGAGTATAATCTACACTACCCTCTTTATTACAACCCCATTCTCCGAAAAAAATGAGGTTGACTTGTAAATGGCCCCTTTTACGCTCAGAATTACTGTTAATCATGATGGATTCCATCGATTTTTTCGGAAAGGGATGTTTGACCCGTCTGCAGTGTTCGAAATGATTACCTACTCATTTTAGGGTGTGTATTTGCCAGTTGTTAATCATATTCGCAAATTCAATGACGGAACGCGAAGAGTTTTTAACGCCCCCTCTGGATTTCGATGGCTAAAGTGCGAAACCACGTATTTTCATTGCAGTGGTCTATAATCGTTGCTCCTAATTAATTTTTTCGAAGAGAAAAAAGTCGATTATACAGCTTAAAATCTCCGCGGAGTATTGTGCCAATATCGCGCTGAAAAATCAAAGAAATCAAGAAATTAAGTTGACTAGTTATCCAAAGGAAACAGACAGTATGACAGGCTGTCTGCAACGTTGCGAACGGAGATACTTGGTTTCGCACTTCGATATGCAACGCAACTCAACGGCATGACATGCTGTTGGAGATCATTTCCATCAATCCCATTCAATATTTGATCCACGGCAGCTCCTCAGTAGATGTGCTAACATTTGTGACATTGCTGTCCTTGTGTGCCAAAATGAAATAATACCTAAGTATGTTCTTCGTTTGTTTCAGGTACGAGCGATTACTTCGCCGAGCCAAAACCGAGGACCTGTCAGAAGTATCGGGTATCGGCTGCCTTTACAGATGCGGCAGCGATCGTTTAGGCCGTCCAGTCATTGTTTTCGTTGGAAAATGGTTTCGCTTCAAAGAAATCAACCTCGAAAAGGTATGAAATATTTTTCACGCATTTAAATTTAAAAAAAAAAAAAGAAGAAGAACGAACTGTGTTGACCAGTGTTGTAGGTCTGGCTCCAAATGTCTTGGGGTGCTAATACGTTTTCGGGCCCTTCAAGAGCCCCCCCTCCCCCAACTAACCAAAAGTCCTCCTTAATGGAGGACTCCTTATTAGTGGGGTTTTCAAGTTTTGGGAGCCTTTAGGAGTCCTGCTGTGGCCCCCTGAGCCACCCGTCAGAATTTCTGGGGTGCTGAAACACCCTAGCACCCCTGGCCAGACCGCCCGTACCCCTGATGTCGCCCAAATACTGTTGTAATTAAGAAAGTAATGAAATATTGTTGGGCCTTCACTTCTATAGGAGGGGTACTCAAACCTCGAAAATTCCACAAATCCGAATTAAGGGACTGGAACTCGCTGAAGACCTTTTTAAAAGAGCCTTACCTATTTCTAATTTTAGAACTTTTTCTGTTCAGAAATTACACCTTGGTTTTTTTGCTTAGCAATTACTTACACGATTTAAAATACGTTGATATTCCAATTAGACTCCTTAACTTACATTATATCCACCTAATTTTACATTATTTTGATTATTTTTCCCTCTCTTTTTACAGGCGCTTTTGTACTTAATTTATTTGTTGGATCCTTTGGTCAAAGGAGATTATGTCATCGCTTATTTTCACACCATGACTTCCAGTGCAAACTATCCCACATTTTATTGGCTCAAGGAAGTCTATAATGTTTTACCCTACAAGTAAGCAACCACGTAACCTTTTTTGCTTTTTTCTCCAGATTTTTACCCTATTTGAAGAAGAAATTTGCTAATTAAAACAAGGATTTGAAAAATCAATTTCAAACTTATAGAATGAGATTATACTCTCGTCACGTTATTGGAAATTTGGAACAAGAGAAATATGGTCATCAAGACTGGTTATAAAGAATTTATGGGGCCTGAGGCATGGAAATAATAGTTCCTTTCCAAGTTAAAAGGCAATCACATACTGTGGTGTACCCAGAGTAGTGAGCAAGTGACAGGAGGTCAAAGTTAGCAGCCATAGTTCTAGCACGAGTGTCCGTTATTTTAAGGGATATTTGGTAGTTGTGATATCACGAATCTCACCAAAATCTTCATACCGGGCCAGTTGTTGAAGATGCAGCTAAGTTAATCTAAATTTCAGTGAAAGTACAAGTGGAATTAAGTATGAAAAAATAATATATTAAAACTTGTTAGGAGCATTTGTCAAATGATGTCTCAAGTTTGTCCTTGACTAATGAGCCTCCATTTCTGATAGGTAACAACTTCAAGTTCAAAAAAACTCACCATTTCCTCTATTTTTTTCCTCACCAATTGAATGCTACCAAAGTTGCACCCAACGAATACGCTATTGAATATGCCCATCACCTAATGGTTTCATATGACAACCCTATCTATAATATAGGGATAAAATTTTGAAGGTCTCATAAAAGTTATTGAGCGAAGTTAGATGAATTAAAAGCAATCCACTCACAACCAATGTAATTATCAGAATAATTTGAAAATATAAAGTATCGATTGTTGTGAGAATCTAAAAGTATTTGAAATGTGTCTTGGTAATTAGTATGGAATAAAGCATCTCTCCATCTCTCAGACCAAGCATCTCTACCATGACAGATTCCTGTGGCGGGTAGGCGTCGCAAAAGGCCCTAGCGCGCTGTAAAGCGACTTATACATTCATGAAGCATGCCAAAAATATATCTGTATTGATAAGAGTTTGAAGTCAAGTTTAATCTTTGGACAGAATCATTTACTTTTTCCATCCAATCTTATACTTTTATATTGGGTCTCCATTTGAAAATGCACAACACTTTTTTGATGACGTGATTCAATCTCATCTGAAATGCACTATTATTTTAGCCATTTCTGTGTCACTGTATATGGCTTTGACAGTGCCATGCTTTTACACCTGTATATTTTTGCCCTAAAACTTTTTTTCTATTTCAGATATAAGAAGAACCTGAAGTCATTTTACATCGTTCATCCCACATTTTGGACAAAAGTAAGTTTCTTGTGAACTTGCATTATTTTAAAAGGGAAGAAAAACAGGAAAAAATTAATATCTCTTTTTGCTATTCATTTTCCTCTTTGTTTTTTTAATTCTATTGAAAAAGGAAAGATTACCTCTACAGAAAAAAGTTGGGTTTTTTTTTTCATTCTAAAAAATTCCTTTTTTAATTTTAAATTGCAAATTCATCAATTTTATCAGATCTAAAATTCCTCGTCATTCAAAATCATCATGAATCATTCATTAGTCGTTTCTTGTCATGGTCCAGACTCTGCAAAGTTCAGTCAAATTATTTTAGCTACTTAAAAAATTGGAACTAACATCAAATTCTTAACTCCACGTTTTTGTTGCAAGAATGTACCAATTAAAAAGACAGGGTCCCTAGCAGTTCTGATAAACCGAGAATGGTTTGGGAGAAAAAAATGACCTGAGAACCTGACCAAGTCAGGGAATTTTTTTATTGACTCAGAATCGGAAAAAAAACTGATCTTTCACTTTTTGTACTTTAGAAATTTTTGTTGCCAAGTAAGGAATTCAGAACCTGGAAACAGTTGAGACGTATCTGATACTGCTCAAGACATGGCCTCCAAACTTTGTTTTGAAAAGGTGCATGCTGTACCTAATTAAAAGTAAAATATTACAGTTTCCTCACAAACAAAGTCACCGAAAAATTTCAATTTGATCTGGAAAACCTGCTAGTCAGAGGATTGTTCTCCCAAAATTGGTTGAGAATTGTGAAAGAGATCAGTGTAAACTTTTCTGTAGCGCAGTCCTTTCGGTAAGATTAGTAACCCTTCAAATAAATCCTGTAAGTCTTCACATCAGCAGAATTCTTCTGTAGCATCATTAATATATTGATTTTTTTTGCAGATGATGACATGGTGGTTCACAACTTTTATGGCACCTGCAATCAAGCAGAAAGTTGTCAACTTACCCGGTGTAGAATATTTGTACAGTGTGATTAGTCCTAACCAACTTGAGATTCCTGCCTTCATTACAGAGTATGATATGACGGTAAGCCACAGTTTTGCTACTTAATGACTCCTATAAATGAGCAAAAATATATTAGCAGAGATCATACGAATGAAGGTGATGCTAGTGATTCTTAGCCATGCAAACTGGTAGGATAAGATTGGTGACGAATCACTTGACTAAATGATAATGATTAGATATAAGTAAAGCTTAAAATATTATACTTTTTCCACTAGGGAGAATGAAAAATAAAGAAAAATTGAGATCTTAAAAAATAAATGAAAATTTCACAAGAGCCATATCTTCATCAAATTACATTGTTATGACTCATATTTTAGATAATTAATATGATGCTGAGGAGCAGTCAATTGGCGATGTCCGACGCTGTCCCAAAATTAAGAACAGTTTTCAGCACCTGCTGTCCTCGCTAATTTGGTAGAAGAATAACAAAAAAGCACCAGTTTGAAGCACGACAAAGGCTTCTTACTGCTCAAAAATTTTCAGAGTTATTTTAAAGGGTGTTCTTTTTATGTAACAGCCACTTTTCTCTTTTGACTCTGGAAAGGCAGAAATTCAGTCGAGGAAGTCTGCCCATTTTTGGAATGTGTTTCGGTTTCCAAAACATGAAAATATCCCCTCATAACTGAGTTTTCCATAAAGAATGTTTAGGAAAGAGTCTAACTTGCGTGCATGATCATGTGAGGCTCTCAAAGAGAAATGTATCTTTTGTTTGGTGCCACGCGCTTCCTTAACTTATATTTCCTTTTTGTTTCAGATCAATGGTATCAGATATGCCAACCAGTAACGCAGTTCTCCAGAGCCTTCACTGACCGAGACTCGGCTTTTTCCACTCATTGGATACAGCTGAATGACGACTGTTTTGATAAATTTTTTTGCTAACCGTGCAAGTATTTTAATGCAGTCTTTTGGACTGGCTTACTGAAGGGAAGGTTCTGGCAAGAGAGTCATGACTGCTGTATTTTAAAAGTATTTACTCGAATGCGCTCATCTATATTATACAAGATTGCCGAGCTTTCTAGTGTTGCAAGTCCTGCTGTTTTAGGCACAGTGCTGCACTGTTATCAATAGGCTGTTATTTATTTTAACTATTGTAAGTTTCATCATAATTTCATGCATGTATCCCATTCATATGAACACATAATAGTACAGCCATGCCAGTACTATTAAGGTTGCCAAAAAAGGAGTAAGAGCTATTTTTATCGTGTAAATTATTACAGTAAGCAATATTATTCTGCGAGGAAAAATCACCTGATTTGACTTTTTTGTTCAAGAATTTTGATGATTTCTCCTGTTCGCGGTTTTTGATACTGATGAGAATGACGATTTGTATGAGGCTGTGTTCCAAACTAGACCTGCAAATTAAGGTAGAAGTAGCAGGGTAAAAGCCAATCTGATGGCATCATGTAATGGGAGATTAGCAATAGAGTGACAACTTCATTCTCTCCTTTTGCCTATGCCAACTTGAAGTCCCACTCAAAATTTGGTTTTCCTGAAAAATTACCTGTAACTTTCAAATTCGGAAGCACATCATTTTTATCTAGACCTCTCGGATACTGTAATACAAGAAAAAATAACCCTATTTACTTAAACGTTGAACTGAAGATTGAGTCAGTTTAATCAAACATGTTAACGTTGAAACCATGTGGTGGTACTCATAGTCCTAATAAAATTTCCGCCACAAAGGACATTGCTGATGCAGCCCAACAATTTCTAATAGGATCACTCACTTGGTGGTAGCCTCCCAGCTGCTCGTTTCTGCATTTAAGCATTTGAAGCTCAAACCTAAAGTTCGACTTAGGCACAAGTTTTCAATGTGGAGTCATTCGTCTCGACAGGAACATGATTTTTAAGCCTCACTACAGAAACATTTTTGTATAACATTGGACCTAACTTAAACAGTCCGTAAAAAAAATTACAAGTTTAATAATAGGGATATCACCAAACATCACCGAAAATTAAAATAGAGTTTGGTTCAAACATCTCTTCATGAGTTTTCCTGTTAATAATCTCTCTCATCTGAAACATTCTACTTTTCACGTAGTAGTAAAGAAGTTCCAAGGAAAAATGGTAAAATGTCTCCTGACATTTTGTACTAAATGTGAATCCTGCTCCCCTCTTTTTTAAATACCTCAGAAATGCATCCTCGCAGAATGTAAACTCATTTTGTAAGTGTTTGAGGATGGTGAGAGAAAATGTAAGTGGAGTGTCGAAGGAAGCACATTCATTAAACAATTCACCACCTAAATAGGCAGTTGTAAAGTTAGTGTATCATAGGAAAAATTCCTTAAATGTTCAATTTGTCAACGCATTGATGTTTTTCTTCCGTATTCTGTAACTTGTAACTGATCTTTTAAATTGAAGCAAGCATAATGCATTTTCTCTTCCATTCAAAGAAACATAAGTGCACTGATATCATTCTCACCGGTTGTTCAAATTTTCATGCTTATTTGTCTCAAAATGAATAGTTTTTTTAAATGTTCTCTCTCGATTGCCTGATTTCCCCAATGAATTTTTGGTTTTTCCTCTGAGATTATCTAAACTTATTGGAATTTCTGTAAAATTTTGGGAACCTTGTCGATTTTTATAACTAATTTGATTCTTTTGTATCGCTCCCTTGCCCCTGTTTTTTGCTGCCCTCAAATTTTTAATGTTAATATTACTGCTACTATCGTCAGTATAATTTTAGTTCTTAATTATAAATCATGTATATTTAATTAGTAACTAAGCAAGCGCAAAGAAGGTATTAAAGAAGAGAATTATAAAATTGTTATACAATTGCATTGTTATTTTTAAAATTGTTGCTGTTAAGTATTGAATCATTATGAATTATGAGTAAATAATATGGAATGATAATCGTCTTCGAATTTTATTGTCTCTCCACTAAACCTTACTGTCATCCATGCACATGGTTGTGCACTGTTCATGTCTACTGAGGCTAAATTCTACGAAACCATTGTGATAAAAGTTTCTTAAACTGTATCAGTTTTAAAAATCAAGTTTTAGCTCCTCTAATTCTAGCTCAGCAAAACTTACTACAAGGATCATCTTTGAAAGTACCAGAAACTGTAATTATGGCAATTTAACAAGCTTGATTTTCTGCTTTTTGATGGTGAATTTTTTTAAAAAAAAATTATTATATCTCCATTGAAATTTTTAAAAACCTCCCATGTTTGGTGGTTTTGGGGGGGAAAAAAACCAAAATGTGTTCATTAAATTCTCCATGAATATTATTGAACAAGTAAAACTTATTCACTAAAGATTTAAAATCAAACTGTTGGTTGGTTTTATTTTAAAAAATGAAACACGGATTGCAACTTAGCAAATGGAGGTATGCATTTTTTGGCAATAACCATCCGCATTAAATTCTCCGTAAAAATTCAAAGCAACAAGGTTGGCTCATTCTGTATCAAAAAAACAAAACAAAAAAAAAAAACAAGCAGTGAACTCCAACACAATGTGTTGATAAGGCGCGTCATTAACTCGCACATATCAACCCCTTTAGTTTTCATTTACAGAGATTTCAAAATAGGCAAACAGCATAAAAAGAGAATTCACGATCCAACACTGCGAGGTCAAAGACGCACCTTGACGAGACCGTGTATTGTGAAAGTAGAAAGCTATTCGATCGAATTTAAGTTTTTTGATCTGCCTCAAGCAAAATCTTATCAGATTCTTGAAGAAAAGTGCTACGGAATAATTTAAGCGAAGAAAGGAAAAATTCTGTCGAACTCCTAGAAGATAAAGTCGATTTAAAGGTATTTTGGGGCTAAAATACCCAAATCACCGGTAGTAAAAATCCCGTTATATTATTGAAAAGAAATTGACTCGATATAAATGCAATTGCATTAAATACGTCTTGATTTTGTTATTTTAAACGTCTTTCCATGCAAAGAAGTTCAACCATGTCGTTGCTTTATTCATTCATGAATTGAAAGTAAGCAATCTACATCCCGAAAATCTACTGATTTGCCGTAAAAAATTGCAGAAACTTGATATACCAGGTCGATGCACCCACTCGTTGAATTTACCAACCAATTTTGTGAGTGCAAATGTGTAAGAATCAATATGCTATAGTCATTTTGGGTGCATTTATTTTTCATGAAACAATAATAATTTCAATCCCGAAAAACCATCAATTTTCCGTATAAAATCGAAAAAATCAAAATATGTCAACTCCCCGACGTGAAAATTAGATTCTACGTATGTAAAATGTAAATACTTATGTATCGATATGCTGAACAGAACTATGTGTGGACAGTCAGAAGCCCGCGGCAACATTAATTCAACAGAAAAACTGTAAAAATTAGATAGGATTTTAGCCGCTTTGCCCGCCTCTCCTCGCTACTTACAACAAACCGTTCTTATACTCATCTCAAAATTTTTCTCAGAGCTTTGGGTTATTATCAGCTTCCATTTAAACTCCGGTTCGATGGCCGAATCGGCTGCCAAAAAAGCAAGCCACTGTTGAGGGGTTCTATGAGAAATTCGTGATATTATCGGCTCTCAGGAAATCACCCCATGGCTAAAATTGGTGGTATAAATGTTTAAGTGCTTAAAATAATCGTATTCAAGAAACTAAGGAATTAAACTATGGAGTCAATTTCTTTTTAATAATATAACGAATTTACTACCGGTGATTTAGCTATTATAGCCCCAGAATACTTTTAAAGCGCCTTTGCGTTCCAGAATCTCGACGGAATTTTTTTTTTTTTTTTTTTTGCTTAAACGATTCAAGAAACATTGTAGTTAAAAATATAAAGATTTTTCGATTTGGACGTATGAAAAATGTTTAACTCGTTCAGGCACACCGTGTATTGTATGGAGTACTGCTGTTATTCGACCGTTGTCTTCAGGTCAAAATTCTTACAAAGAAGCCCCTTGCAAGAGGCAAATTTTTTGTAATTTCTCCCAGTTTTTTCAGCGTTAGGTATATAAATGAATTGTTTGTCAAATTTTGAGGTCAATTATATTTAATTGTAATTTATACTTTCTTTTTTTCCCCTTCATTTTATTTTTCGTATCGAGGAGTCGAGGTTTTGTTGATTTCTTCGGATTTCGATTACTGTAACTTCTCTTCTATTCGGCCGATTTTTATGAATGAGGTCTCTTTTTATTTGTGTTTTAACGGAGAGTAAGGAAAAAATTGCTAAATACATGCGAAACAATTTTTTTTGAAAATTGGATGAATCCTAGCGTGACGGTGAAATGGTTAATGAAGCGTGAGTAATTGGGGTACGGGTATCGGCCGCGTTGGGACCCAAGGCCCATTGTTCTTCGTGACGCCGACGCAGTGATCAGGAGCGTGGGGACGAGAGGGCTTAGTGGACTCCTGTATGAGCCACGTTTAGCAAATGGTCTAATGAGTCTCGAGGCTCATCACAGATTGCACTTACCACTATCCTGGTGGCCCCGGCTATCAGAGCAAGGAGTACCAACTTTTGAAAAGGATAACAGTGTTGTGGAGATATGTCAAAGCAACGTTGTGAACAAAACGGAGTGAGTGAAATTCTCATTCAAGGAGTGCCGAACTGGTCAGCCATCCTCGAATCAGTTCGCTTGCTTCCGCTTATATATGCATATTTTAAATCAGCGCGCCCCATTCTAAGGTTTTTTTAAAAAAAACCAAGAAACGTAGACTCTTGGTATTCATTACACATAAACTAGCGAGCCCCAGAATGAGAAACAAATTTTAATCATTATTATTGACGGATTAGTAAACTTTTTACACGCTTTGGAAAATCTCAGAAGTTCGCGGTAGTCACTTTTCGGTAAGGAACTAGGGGACTCGGTTATTGTATCGAGGGGGGGGTCGAAACGATCGCAAAGGCGGTATACTACGTATACGCGCCAATTAGAGGAAGCTCTGATGTAAAATTTGAGGTACACGTTTTCCCAGCTCCCTTTATCAATAAAAGCAGCTTAGAGAAGAAAATGAGTCAGAAACTGCTCAAAGAACCACTGTAAAAACATCCAAAGTTCCTCAATTTAATGAGATTTTCTTAGGTCCTGTGGGAATCTGATTTTACCCCTCAGCAAGAGAGTTTCATTACTCTCAATCTAAAAATAGTGTCCCAAAAGTAAGGCCTAGTTTTTTACGTACATATATGCTTACCAAGGCTTCCAGCGGCATCAGAGAAAATCCTTGAATTTCTAAAAAAAAACAAAAAAACAGCCTTTCCTCCTTTTTACGGTCTCTCTATGACTTGTAAACACCCTCCTCCCAAGCATCTTAGAACATGCTTATCAATCCATAAAATGAAGAAAGCTTATAAGGGCTGCTAGAGCTGTTTTTTGACTCCATAGGCATGTTAAAAATGAATTATAATGAAGGAAGTGAAGAAAGAAGAGAGTAGATAGGCAGGGCCGGATTAAGAGTGTGGCCATATGGGCCGCGTCCCACGGCGGCAAAATTAGGAGGCGGCTTTTGCAATTTTTTTAAATGCAGGTACAAAAAAATCGTATTCAGACAAAAATTACAAAAAGAAAAGGTGACAAAATCTCTCATTTCCTGAGAGTTCATTAATTTCTAATTTTGTCGTATTTCGGTGATACAAAAGACTGCGCACCTTTAATTAGTTGAGTTAAGAGAGAAACCAAACGCGTAATTTGCCTGGAGCGGCGCAAAGAGAAATGATGACGAGGACTTGAGATGAAAATGAGAAGCCCTCGACGCGGCGGTCGGCATGTAACACATATTAGCGCCTACGAGACTGCATGAATACTTCACGCATTGCGTCAAACACAGTACGGTCAACAGCGGTCGGCGTGGCGTGAAACGCATAGTGCCTACAAGACTACATGAATACTTCACGCATTGCGCCAAACACAGTGTGGTCAGCGCGGTACGGCGGCGGAAGTTAAAATTATTAAACCACATTTATGTTTGTTCTTTCTGAATTGTTTAGTTCATTTCTTACAAATGAAAGGCCTTGTCCCCACAGAGATAGGTTTACGGAACTGAACTTTCGCGCGAAGTTCCGTGAATTTTTGCTAGTAGTGTTGACAGGGTATAGATTCAGGTGTGATACGAAGTTGTAATTTTAGATGCAAGTTTAAGTATTTTTTTCCGCAGGTAAGTATAATAAATCTATCTACATAATTTACATACGAGCGTACGTAGTCAAGTGTTCTAACACCCTTTACCCTCGCAGTTGAGGCCGTACATGATCGTACGTACACAACGCGCCTCCAAACAAAACAGTCTAAGTGATCAAAACAAACGACCAATGGTGGTAGGCAAAATGGACCGAGTTTAACAGAAAGGAACCAAGCCACATCAGCGATTGCCAAGTTTAACTGGGCAATTATATTTTTTACGAGAGAACGGTTGTTCGGATTCCTTTGAACATTTTAAGGAATTTGTTTCGCACCACGGAGAATTTTCACTGAAATTTGCACGAAAATCCACACAACCGTTTTCATGTAAAAAATTAAATTGCCCAATTAAATTTGGCAATAGCTGATGTGGCTTGGTTCCTTTCTGTTTAACGCGGTCCAAATGTGCTTTAAAACAAAAAATTCAAAATCACTTTGTTTTTGCTTTGTTCTCAAGTTTTGTTTTGTTGCCCAACGCCAAACGATTCTCGTACCAACCTTTTCATGTCGTCATATCAGTGGCGTTTAATGAAGTGACCTTGAACTAATGCCCGACTTGTCCGCTTATCAGTCACTTGGTAGTATCCGTATTGCGTTATCAGCTGTGCTGCTGTGCTCGTAAACTGCAACGGAGATAACAAGTTTAATCAATACAATAGTGTTTCGCTGTTTTGCTTCTGACATCATAGTGCTCTGCAACTAATACCTAGAGATAATCTCGTTCGTAAACAATGTGTTTTTTTTAATCTCAGGTGTCTTTTTATGAGAAGCGTCTACCCTGAAAAGTATCTGACTCTGTAACCTGATTCATTATCATAGGTTATGTCTCTTACTTTTTTCAACAATTCAAGTACATATCCGTGATTATGAGCTGTTTTCTTTGAACAAATAACCTGGTGAAGTTAATTATTTGGTCACTTTCCAAATTCGTTCAAGTTCGATTTCCATAAGATTCCATCAGTCTCATAGTGCTTTGTAAAAATGCAGGCGAAGTTGACATTACACTCAAGATTCCTCCTTCTGTTTGCATTCTATAAGTATTCCTCTTATTTCTCATTTTAAAACTAATTCCTGCAACAATGACCATCGAAATCCTCGATAAGTGGCACTTTGCCATCAGTGGCATTATCATTATTGTCATGCAGATTTTTTTCTTTACAATCGCAGCAGCCTTCCAGTTTGACAAAATCACTGACATCGCCGGAGGTGTTAACTTCATTATCGTAGCTCTGTCAACGTACTATTTGGGCCAGGTGAGTAATATGTCTCTCTATCTTCTTAGTTGGTTTGATTATTGCTTTTGGCCACTTATTGTCTTGTTTTTGTTTGGATTTTCTTAGATCACAGCCTGTGTAACTGTAGATTGTAGTAGCGATGGGCATTTAAGTTATTGAGACCTATAGTCTTTAAGAGTGCTGCCTTAACATTCAAAATCAGTATTAGACTATGCCACTTAATTGGCCATCAGTTGATGATTCACTTTGTACCTTTTTGTCGCCTAGCCGTGGCCATTTAAAGGTGCAGTGCAGCTGTGTTCAAAGTGGCTCATCGTTGTCCAGTAATTTAACTACTGTAGTTGGGCGACCAAGCCCCCCTTGACATTTTTTGAGGCTGCTAAATTGACATGAAGGCCTGGGAAAAACTACTGTTACCATAAGTAATTGAGTCGCCCTAGGAATTTGAATTTAATGGTTACTTACTACACCCTTTAAAGCGAGTACCATTCAACTCCTAAACTCATCAAACTAATAAAATTAGGACCTCCCTTTTACCATATCAATATAGACATAGGGGCGGGCTTTGTAGGACTGCTGGATTTGCATTCCTTGGGGTCGATTACTTATAAAACACTTATTTGCCAAGCCACTACATCAGTGGCTCCCAACCTTTTTTTGGCTACGGACCACCTTTTCGCACCTTTTATTTTCTGTGACAATCTAAGAAGTCAAAGTCTTCTCTACCAACCATGTATTTTTCCATTTTTGCAGACATATGACAGCCGACAGTCAATGGTGACTTTGTTTGTTTGCATCTGGGGAGCTCGTCTATCTCTGTATTTGTTTTATAGAATCGTTGTCATTGGTCGAGATGCAAGGTTTGAGGATAGACGCAGTAATATCATTAGGTTCGCTGTTTTCTGGACTTTCCAGGTATGTTATCAGTAATTCTTTTCCTTTATTTTTGTAGATCTGTTGATTTTCAAATCTGTTAAAATAAAATTACTTAAGATGATTGTGAAGCAGGAAAAGTCTCATTTCAATAAAATATCTTAAAAACTTTGAGCAGGCTGTTGCTCCTTTTTTGTCACCAAAATATTGTTTGGTCTACCTTATCTTTATTATTCTCATTGGAAGAAGGTACCTACTTTAAGTATCTTTTTAGTTTCACAAAGAGATCTGCTTCATGCATTGTTAAAGTTATAATACCTGCTGAACTTCTATAATTTAGTCCTTTAATTTTGTACAGGATGTAACAGAATTTTCTTCAATAGTTTTCTGATCTAGGTATGGGAGAAATTTAGCTACTTGGTTCTTCATTTTTGTTGAACTAATTCCAAAGGTTTTCAATTACAGGCTGTGTGGGTTTTTGTCGGTAGTTTACCGGTAATCATCATCAATGCTCCGCATAATGCTTTTCCTCGTACGCCGAAAACAATGTCAACTTTTGACTCTGTTGGAACTGGATTATTTTTTGTCGGATTAATAATTGAAACTTATGCTGACTTACAAAAGTTTGCATTTCGACAAGAAATTGCCAACAAAGGGAAGTGGTGTGATGATGGTAAGTCAAAATTGATAACCTTAAATTTAAAAAAAAAAAAAATGATGAAAATATTTACATTGTCCAGGACAGCTTTTAAAGAAAGTAATGGGCACTTTTTGCCCCAAATTTTTCTAACTTTAGGAAAGTTTTCCATTTTATATATTTGAATTTTAAATGTTCATGGAAGAAATATTTTTATTTTTTTGGGTATTAGTTTTGCCCTTTTTTCTCTGCTCTCTGTCGGTAGAATACTTTAAATTTCACTTCATTAACTTTGAGAAAGAAATTGTCAAATAACAAGTGTGTACCATACTATTACCTTACTAGGTTGCTTGTAAAATTCTGATCAAATCCTGGTTAGTCAGCTTATTCAATTATAGTGCCTCTGCATAATGGAAACTATGGTTAATATGGTTCAATCGAAAACAGCTTTCAGCTGTTGTTTTCTTGACAAGGTACGGTAGGTGAATGAAATATACAGTTTTTTAGTGTGTTTAAATTATACACACAAGAGGAAAAAATTGTTTGCATCGATTGTTAAGAATTGGACAATTGTTTTGAACGAATTTAATTTCTATTGGGGATAAACTTCTTGTGCATATATGTGTGCAGTTGATGCTATGAACTTCAAGAAAATAACTATGTTTACTTACAAACGCATATCGACAGCGTAAGTCCGCAATCACATATTTCGTTTGGGGTGTCTGAAAATTTCCTCCTCTATGTAATTTTTTTAAGGAGAACAAGTTTACATCATTCCTTGAAGTTCATGCAGAATTTTCTTCACATAGAGAAGAAAAATCACGGCAGTTTTAAAGAATTGCTGTTGAGTAGTTTTCTGTTTAAAAAATAAAGTATGACAGGAAGTCTGCAATGTCGCAAACCAAGTTATGTGATTGCCGACTTACACCGTCGATACATGGCGTGTAAGAAAAATGTTGATAGTGAACTTTCACTCAATACATCTCTTCCAATTTATATTTAAGTTTGCAAGAAATAAGTTTATAATTCGGATAGTTGAAGTTCACGTCTTCAGCAAATGCAGAATGTTCTTTGTGGTCACATTTTTCAAGACAGCCATCACATGTCTTAAGAAAATTCCCGCATGTCACCTTGCTTAAAGAACTTTTCAAGTACTCCCTTCCTTACATAAAACAACTCCTTAATTAGTTTTCCGCATACAAAGCAGTACCTTTTATGTGAGTCACTATTGTTTTAAATAATTAAAGATTATAAAACCTACTATCTTCACATTTTTGGCAGCTTTCACATTTCTTTGAACGGCTGCACCTCAACAAGCTTTTTGTGCGGTGAAGCAGTCTCTGCATCCATGATGTCTCTCATGCAGTCATTTTTGTTTCTAGGTTTGTGGAGTATGTCTCGACATCCTAACTATTTCGGTGAAATTCTCCTGTGGTGGGGTATCTTTGTCATATCTTTGAATGTTGTCAGAGGCGTGGAATTCATTGCTGTTTTGAGTCCATTATTCACAACATTTATCATAATGTTTTTATCTGGTATACCAATGCTAGAACGAACATCCGATTATAAATACAAAGGGTGAGCATAATTTACCTATTACACTCTTTTTCAAGTGTTTCTCTTGTTGGTAATATTTTAGTCCGTCTAGGAAAGGCATTTTTCATGAGAATGATGGGAATTTTTTTGAATGCTTCTCTTAAATGCTTTTAATAAATTCACTTCACTGTCAGTTGAAGCATCTATTTTTATGGAAATGTTGAGTTTTATTAGCATTAAAAAGTAATAATAGAATTTTTACGGCCACTATGACGACTTAGGTCAAGGCTTTAAAAACTTCATCAATCTGACCTCTTTGATGTTTCTATAAAACTGAGTATTTCATAGTGTTATCTTGAAAATCTTTCGTTGATTCATCCTTGTACTAATCCATCCTAATCCACCCTTCAGCTCAGAATGATGCCCACTACTAGAAAATGAATTCTAAAAAAAATAGGTGCAACATACCCGTTTTTCACTTGGATTTGGTCTTTAAGCGGTAGTGATAGGGGCGGTGCTGTTAAATGTGTTCATCAACGGGATCCTCTTGATACCTCTAAAAGGAAATTCTTTGGAGCCAAACTACAATCCTTTTTATGGTCATGGAGTGTAAATTATGTGTTGTAAAGCTCTAAGTACATACATCAAGTAGAGTGAGATGCTCTTAAAGGCAAATTTGAATTTGAGGTTGGCTGAAAATATTTCAGCCATGTTCAGAATCATGAAAGGATAAATACTTACTGTTTAGAACTGTTCAGCACTGTTTAAAACGCACATAATTTAAATGTTCATCCCTTTTTTTTCCACAGGAACACTAAGTATCACCAGTATAAACAATCAACTTCTCCACTGATACCAATACCACCAGGTGTCTATGAAGAGGTGCCTCCATTTTTAAAGTTTATCCTATGTTGCGAGTTCCCCCTGTACAACTGGCTGGATGTTGACACTGACTCTCCGAATGAAGCCCCGTATTTAAGCTCCTAGCATCAGAAGGACTCCGAACCGGAGAGTGCATTGATTGCTTTGTCAACTTACAAGTCCACTTCAGTTTCTACTAATGTTTGAAGCATTTTCTTCCTTAAATCGTAAGACTTTTTTATTTTTTACACTTCCGAAAATTTGAAAATTTGCTTCGCTGTTGATTGACTCTTTTCAAGGTGTGTTTGCAGATCAATGGAATTCTATATTCCCTGCTCAAGATGCCTTAAGAATGAGTAAAGCTTAGACCTAATATTAAGGTGTGGTGTTCTCTAATAGTAGTGTTCGAAAATTTCACTCATAATATATGAATGATATCAGAAATTATACGTTGTGGTGCTATATTTTTAAAATAGGACTAAGTATTCAGCAGTAGAACTGACTTCAGATAAGGTGGGAGTTATTAACTATATGTTTGAAGACAGTTATGCCTGCCCTCTAGTAGCAATGGTGAACTTACTGAGGGCAACATAGCTGCTCTCCGCGAAAGTGTAAACCTGTTGATAGCACCTGAGGTGCAAAAATATACAACTTCCAACTCATCTGAGTCCTAGCTTCTGTTTAGCAGCAAGCAACAGAAATAGTACATGTTGCCAATATTTAAAGTCTTCAGTATGAATTTGGAATCTGAACAGATAAGATGCAGACTGAACTCATGATGCCCTTTATGATCTGTACAAATAAAGTATCAAAACTATCTTATTGTAAATTCTGAATGATGAAGAAGTAACGCTGATCGAACATTGTCAATTCAAGTCAAAAATGAAAACTTGCATTCAATCAATAGAAATTGGACATTGTCTAAAGGCTCACATAGCATTTTTCCTTACCACAGCAGTTCAGTAGAGTGATTTAGTTTTTTCCCTTATCCCTTTCTCGAAAAGATAAAGGCATTTTCAGGTGTGTTGGTTTTTTCGTAAGACTTAAGTGACCAAAAAATTGTGTAACATTGGTTTTCGTCACAACAGTATCAATTAGCATTTAAAGAATACTTATCGTTACAGATCAAGAAAAATCCATTTTTGTTAATTTCTATACTTCTTGCCAGGTCCTTACCAACCAGTAGGCTAATGTCCAAAGGTCTGTCCCTCTTAGTTATCAAATCCCATTTAGATTTGTTTTAAATGCGTTTAAATTTAGAGGAAAACCAAAAAATGTCTCCACCTTAAAACTGTTCTCAATCCCTTGTTTTTCATCATTTTGCATCAAAGCGTTGAAAGCTGCTGCCTTGTTTTGTATACTAAGGCCTTACATTTGTTGAGTCTGCATCTCAAAAACCCATCTGTTTGGAGTGGAATAAATCTGAAAAATACTACGCACGATCTTGAGTCGTTTCCCTCTACTGATGAGACAAGCAATATTTTTTATGTTTCACGGTAATTGCCTGGGAAGAGTGTTCAATCTGTCAGATTTTAAGTATTTTTGCTCCGTAAAAATCAAGATGTACGTGAATCACCAAATGCACGGAGGTTGTGATAATTTTTGTTTAAAGTCTGTGCATACTCCCTTCTGTTAAAGCTTTCTTGTTTTCGTTTTTGGTCTCGCATTTCCCACTCAACTCTTTAAAAACTTTGTTTGAAAAGTTCTTTGGTGCAATATGGATTGCGTCCATTGAAGATAGCTACTCCGTCTCAGATATTTTTTTGTTTTTTGTTTTTCTGTCATAAAGTTTTGATGTTTTGTGACAAAGATATCCGGAAGTAGGAATGATGTTCCTTAATGAGTCATTTGTATCAATGTTTATAATATTTGTACCATGTACTATGCTACTAATGTATGCTTTAATTCTCCCATTCCTTGTCATCATCAGTTTTTTTTTGGCATCATAAATATGGTCTCATGAAGACTAAAGGACTTTCAACTGCTTGCTTTTACGTTTTTTAAAATGAGCTGTGTACCTATTCAGTGCATTTTAAGAAATGTGATGTAGCAAAAGATGGAGGAAGGTATCTATTGTTGTGACTCTTCTGACAGTCAGTGGAAATTAATTTAATCAATTACTTAAGCCTAAATGATGTTGCATATAGAGCAACTTTTGTCGGAGAGTGTGCGAGAAAAGTCTGCAGGCAGGCTACCTGCTATAATGCGCTTTCATCTCCAGCCTCACTGTTCTACCCAATCCTGCCAACGCACATGCACTGACAAACATGATAACAAGATGGGTAACTTTGCGGAAGTCTCTCCAAAATTTCATGAGACTTGAGGTAGATTTATAGAATCTGCACTCTCTGACACTTTAATATATAACCACCTACTTATATATATGATGAAACCACTGAACTAAGAGGGGTTTTAATTTTCTCCTCGTAGAAAAAATAACGGCTAATTGCATTTCTAGAAGGATAATCCTATGCTTTGGTTTTTTTATTGATTTATGTTTTGAATTCTTTATGTTGAAGTTTTTGAATGCATTGAAGTCTATTCACAACATGATGCGGTGAAGTGTTTGCTGTGATATTTGAGCTAGTCATGTGATCTGTTTCTTCGTGCAGATTTTAATTAGTGATCAAACAAGTATTATTTCTCAAACTGAAGAGAACAAGTCATCGCTTATTCTTTGTGCCTCTTGGATCTCTTTTTCTTCATCATAGAAACTTAGTAGGAGATTCCTACGAGCTTTACTCTTCTTACCTCCTCTCCTTTTTTCATCAAAAAAATGTAATGGCAGTTCCTGAAGTTGTTGACCTCAGAAAATGTTGCCGATTTACTTAAATAATCTAGTTACTACCTTGTATGTAGAAGTAGGGGAAAAAAATCCAGACTCGGAAAAATATCTTACCTCTGGACAATTTTCCTCCATTATTATACATGTATTATTTTTTTTTATATAATTATTTTTCTTTTTAATATAAAAAATATTATTAAGGGAATGTATAAGTACCATTCTAGTCAAATTGAAACCATAGATTTAATTACCCATCCTTATTTAAGATTTTACTTTTTCTGATTGATAAAAAATATCTCTGAAGTGAAAGATCACTGGTACACCTGTTTAACGGTTAAACCTCTAACTTTACCCTTTTGGCTCGGTGCTTACCAAAGAAACTAAAATTTACTAAGTTTGTAAGCATAATGCATAGTGCAGGCGAGTGATGGTTTATGATGTACTAAACCGCAAGTGCTGCGCTATAAACTTTCGATGTTAAATGAAACTGTACCAATTTTCAAGTGTGTCTTCCTTTTGTTGAATTTTTATTTCTTTCCAAGGCTTTTCATGATTTTAGCAATTAGCAGCTCTTAATTCTTCTCTTACCTCCAAAACAGTAGTAAAAGTTTATTTTTAAAAACTAGATCTTCCAAATCAATCCTCACTGCTGAGTTAAGATGTTCTTGGTTATTTTTTCATTTTAGAGCATATTAACTCAATTATAGCATGAATTTATTTTATTGTTACGAATTTTGAGTTGCCAGATTTTTATTGTTTCATTTTTAAGGAAGCATTCAATAAGCAAGTAACTTTCACAACAAAGTTTTCATGAGAAACAATGGCTATTTTTGGTCCTCCTTAATTATGAGCTGTTAATAAGATATGTACCGCTAAACTTCGGGTTTTTTGAACCTCCTCTCATAAAGCTATTGTGACGAAGGTCCCTGTCTGTTAGCATGTACAAACAAAATAGTGTAATGCTTTCCTCAACCCCCCTACCCTTAGAGTGTTGCCTATATTATGAAGATCGATCTGAGGAGGACCATGAAACAAGTGATATGGGAATGGTTGTGAAAAATTATAGAATGATTTTGACTCGGTCAATTGGTTGTCAGGTTGCTCTTTTTTGTAAGTTCTGGAAAAAGAGAGGTCAAGAAAGGTAATTGTTTTTTTTAAAATTACCTCAGTGCCCAACAATTGTGTTATGTTTAACTGCGGACTATAGAGAATTTTGTGCACACCTGCAGGTTCCATGCCACGAAACATTCATCTGCCCGTTTTTTTCATAACTGGAAGCACAGTTAGATTTAAAAAGAAATTATGTATCCTATTCTTAGCACATTCATCTTTATTATATTGTAAACTGTTGCAATGGAAATATTTTTATTTTTTTAGCTTTTTCGCTATGTAGTTTTTGTCCAATTCGCATCATTGAGTATACCGAACGCCGTCAAAATATTTTTTAAATTTATCTTAAAGTAGATATTAGCAAATCAATTCTTTTATCCACTTGTAGAGTGTATATTAGTTACGCTCCTGAATAGTCAGTGATAAAAATAGTGCTAAGAATAAACTATCAAGAAAAATTTCAATTTTGAAAATTGTAGTGCGATTTCTACAAATTGATGAGTTTTAGAAAATAATTGAAGTAGAGGTAGCCCCAGGAGGGCTTTTAGTCCTCATAAGTTAGGATCTTAAATTATTATAAAGTGATATACGATTGCTCCTATGGTAATCAATGTATGTAACAGTATTTCCATACCAACGCACAACTTTCTTCGCACACTCCCTGTTATGTTTTCACATTAGAATATCTTACTCATGTATCTCTTAAGTCATGAAAAATTTCATCAAACAGCACATACATTTACCGCGTATGTCTTGATAATCTCCTTTGTCTCAAAAGTCAGTATTAATGTTCATATGTGAAATAGTTAGGCTGAGATTCGCATTGGTGAGCCGCCAATTTTGTGCGGAGCAGCATCTGCTGATCTCCGTCTGCATCAAAGGAATTTGAGTGTGAATAGTGCAACTGTTCACTTGTCGAGACTCCAGCCTTGAATCTCAATCCCACTTTTTTTCATCTCTTCTCTTTTAATGTGATAGACACTTTCTTTGACTGGAAACTAGTTGATGTCATTCAGTAAATTTCGAAAGTTCTTTACCCTATTGGTAGGACTTTTTGAAATAGGAATTCTTTTTAATTAATATTATAATCACTGTGTTCCCATTTTATTAAATATCATTGCCCACAGCACCTATTACTTTTTCGAAATATTTAAGGATTTATCTTTTTTTATATTGAATGAACTTGATATCAAACTGTAATTCATTCAAAACAAACACTTTAAAAATGTCACTGTTGAAAGTCTAAGGTATTGAATTATTTAGAAGCTCATGAAAAAAGCGAAAAGGTAAATCAAAAACAAATTTAAAAGAGAATAAAAAATTTACTCTTTAAAATGATATTCATTTTACCAACAAAGCCTCAAAATCTGTACACAAAGGATAATTAAACCACCATGTTGAATGCAAACATTTGAATAAGTTCTTAAATTTTGAGTATCTGATAATAAAAATTTCCAGACTCCAAAATAGTTCAGATTTGTTTGTCAAGGAATCTTTACCTATGATTAATCTTATATTTTTTAGTCTGGCTAATAGCTTCCAGTAAGCCAGCTATGTAGTTTTGAGTCATGATATTTTAAAACAAAGATGGAAGTTAAATTTTGGTTTTAGAGCGAATTAATCGTTCCTCTTCAGTAAGCATTACTTAAGACACTATCTAATTACTATCTGGACGTATTTGTGCTAAAAGGAACTATGTTACACGCAAATTCTATGCATGTAGTCCCTTTTAGCATAAATACGTTCATCTGCGAGTCTCCTCTTGCTAAAGTATCGCGTAATGTTTTTCTTTGGACAGGAAAATTTGAGTGCATACTGTAACTTGTAAGAAGGATATGCAATGTCTCGAAACGGTTTCATTTGTCTGTTGTTGTATTTAAATAATAAACAATGATTTTTTATCTATTTGATTCTTCTATCTTCTTTGCACTATTTTATCTTCCTGTCAATATTTTCCTCCATCAAAAGAAATCTTTATTCTCTCCAGCGTTTATTGAAACCATGTTGGCACACCAGGACTACACAGCCCTATTTTAACCATGTGATATATCACATTTCGATGTATCATTGTGCTGCTCTAAACTTTCAATAATCGGCCTACAAGGTGCTTGTTTAGGTTGTGGGAAAACAATGTGCTGGTAAAAAATATTTGAGTTGAAAGACTTTTGCTTAAGTTGTGCTTGTATGATTTTATGCAGAATAAGATTGTGGAACAAAAATTATTGAGTGTAACTCTTAACCAAGATAACAACTTATTTCAATGTATAACTTCAAACTTCTTGTTCATAAAACAACCGTAGTCCACTTGGGTTAAATCGCACACAACGTTGACGTAACAGTCTCTGTATGAAAATATGGCAACCTCAATCTCAGGGGTCGAGAGGGAATTGAAATTAATTTGATCGCCCTCCGAGTTCGCGAACGACCAAGCGTCGCTTTTCGATCGCGATACTCGATCAAGAGGCCAGAGCAGGTAAAAGAATTTGGGATACCGAATCCCGAACTCAGAGGCGAATGGGGCGATTATTGTTCTCGTTCGAAGAACGAGAGGCAGTAGCGCGGGCAAACTGTTCAGTTCCCGAGATGGGATATGATTTCTGGCCGCATTGGCATCCCCTCGTAAGACAGGAGGGAATTAAAACCCGATCTCGATTGCCCTCCTCGAAAGACGCACACGGGGCTTCCGATCGAATTGATCTGGATCGGCTGAGTTTTTGCCCGCAAAGGCTCTGGACTTTACCCCTGGATTCTTTCCTCCACTACTAGTCCGCACACGCTGGACCGCGACAGCCGATCACTCCTTCCTTTCACTTTGGCATTGTGCTCATGCGTTCTCCCCTTTTACTTTCGTCCTCTACCCTGGCTATTTTTCGCCTGTCATGATTCGTGCGTAAACTGTGGGCTTGTCGCTTTTTGACTTCTGCACGTCTAAACATCTATTCCTCATAGCTGATCGGTACATGTAATGTCCATATTTCTTCTACTTTTGTCAGGGTACCTTAGAGAGGGCTCTCTTCGAATTTTCGGCTCATTTGAAAAATTTCGGCATAAAGAGCAGGAAATTGGCTTATATTTTTTTTTTCTTAACTAAAGCTTTAGTCCTCTTAGATTTATTGAGCTATTTTATTTGAATTGCATTTTGCAAAAAGGAATCAAGAGCATTCCAATATTGCTGGGATTGTGCAACTTACATTCTTTGATATCAAATCACTGAAATCATGCAAGAAATTAAATTTACAAGCGTAATTTTTGGCTTGAATTTAAAGTTTATTGGGAGTAAAGATAGAACTTATTTAGGCGATCAGTTTATATTTGTAAGGTGAAAATAGTTGCGCAATCTTAGAAACATGGAATGCTCGTGGTTCTCTCTTGCAAAATGCAATCCATTTAAAGCAATATGAACAATTGAACACATCCGAAAAATGAATGAAGAGAAAAACGCACCCCTCTCGGAATGCTAAAATTCGCACCTTATGATATAGCCCATTTTGCCGTGCTACAGACGAATGCCGTAAGAACCATTGAACCATCAGACGTTGCCAAATTTCCTTTGATGACCCGCAGATTATCGTGAAAATTCAACTATATTTTTTTACTGATTTTTCAGAGAATTTTATGAGCAATTTGATCTAAAGTTTCGAATAATTTTAAGGCGGTATAGTAGGGCCCACGAAGGATGATCCCTGAAAAATCGGGCGAATAAACGCATGGACCATGTAAATGTCAACGCTGCGAGATCGAGCACGCACATCGACGAAACTGGGTAAAAACGCCGTATGAACATTCGCGAGTTGCCAAATTTCCTCCAATTAAATGCCTTATTTTCAAGCAGAATTGGGCATATTTTCTCTTGAAATAATTTAATATTTCTGAAAATTATTTTCAGATGATTTAGAGCTGACAGCGAATAAAATTCTCTGAAAAATTGGAGGGAAAGTATTCACTGATTTCCCTGAAAATTCTTTTTTAGTCAACGGAAGTTTGGCATCGGCTAAAGGCTCATACGGCGTTTCCTTAGCAGGGTAGAATAGGTATTATATGCGAACCGCCGCTATTCCACCCCTATCTTCAGGTCAAAATTCTTAAAAGGAAGCCCTTTCGTAAAAGATCAATTTCCTGTAATTTTGCCCCAATCTCTTCGTCCATTACATGGTTGAATTGCTTGTGAAATTCTGAACTAAATGATGTTTAATTGTAATTTACACTTTTTATTTTTTCCTTTTTTCTCCTTTTTATAGCGAAGTTTAATTTTTATTTATCTCATATAGTATCTCGAACTGTAACTTCTTAGCTATTTGACAGATTTTTATAAATGAGGCCTTTTTTTACTCGTGCTTTAACAGAGAGTGAGGAAACTCTACCTAAAAACTTTTTTAGCAATTTTCAAAAAATTTTGGATCATTCTAGTAGGACGGTGATATTGTTAATTACGCGTAAGTAATTAGGGTTCTATTGTGGCTCGGCTCGGCATTGTCGCGCGAGCTCCAGTCTCGGTCCGGACGGGGGTGTCTCACTGCTGCCAGTGTTTGCAAGAAATACCCGCGGCTCAGGGATCATCCCTCGTGGGCCCTACTATAATTCAAAACTTTTGGAGGAAATTTGGCATCACTCAAATGATTATGCGGCGTTATTCCTCAGCACGGAATCATCAGCGATGCACTTTGATGTGAATGCTGAAAAGTGTAAGCGTGTCTAGGGTGGGACTTAGTTTTTTCAATCGACCAAAAAAAATGTTGCACGGTCCTAAATGGTTCTATGTAAAAAAAAACCACGGTAGCCAAAAATATTTTGAAAGATAAGAAAATTTACCCGACGCGCACACAGCCAATAGATCGTGATTTTTCCGATTGTTTGAGCATTTTAACCGTCTATTTTTGATATTTTAGTGAGTGATAGGGACTGGACGCTAGATGTTCAAAAATGTGTACAAACCGAGCACATACCTTGCACATTAAGAGAAATTTTTTTTTTTTTTCTCCCAAGTCACTCTCATTTCGCGTGGCAATGCCCAGTCCCTCCGCTCGGTTGCTCTTAAAATCGAAATTTCACCGTTTTTTAACTTATAATGAGCTTTGTGAGCAGCCACTAATGGTGGTAAAAATCCGAAAATTTGTGAAAAACAAATCCATACCGCATCAGTATAGCGTCTAGCCCACATACCAACTACAGGCTTCAAAGAGGTTCATCGTTGCATTTCCTGGCCCGCTCATTGGCCAGCGGTTTAAGTCGGGGCAATCGATGAGTCTCTTTGAAGCCTCTAGTTTGTAACGGGGCTGGACGCTTATGGAAGAAGAAATTTCAGAAAACTCCTGCTTCTTGGTTCGGCCACCAAACGGTCCGGGGGCGCTTCTTCGAATAGCACCGCCGGATCTTCCCACCGCGCCGCGCCGGTCTGCTGGCCCTCGACCGGCTGCGACGCGCGATTGTTCCCATTGTGCTTACTTTTGGGGTTCTCTCCGTCGGCGGAACCCGTGTTAATGACACCCTCTACCTACTAGCCGCTGAAAATTTGCGGACCAATTTTTTTAAAGTTTAACTAATCTTCATTTATTCAACGGATTCAAATTCAGCTCGCAATCCTGATGAGTAATATATATAATAATAAGTAATTATATCGGTAAGTTACTGATCAAAACGTGGGCCAAACGTGAAAGCGGTCAGACATGTGTTAATGACACCCTCCTTCTACTGGTAGAGGATAATTTGCCGACCAACTTCTTTACCGTTTCTAAAATGTTCTACTATTTCAACGGATTTGGATTCAGCTTGCAATCCTGGTGAAAAATATATATAATTACAAGTAGGTATATCGGTAAGCTAAACAAGAATTGGAGGAATGTGATAGAAAGTATTTTAAAAGCGCTGAAGACATTCGCGAGTTTTGCGATACCATACTTATTCAATATACCTACTCATAATTATTCAAATTTTTCATCAGACTTCGAGTGCAAGACCGCTCTGGGCGACAAAGCTGTCGCGTTAGCGTATACCTACTTTGTGCCGTGCGACTCTGTTAGTACATTTTTTTAAATTCGAGAGTCACGAAGACACTTTGTCCCACGTTTTCATAAAGAAATAGCCAGATTTCTCTGAGAAGAAGTGACGTTAATTAATTAAAAAATTTGGAAACGTCCTTTACCACAGTCATTAATTGGAGAATTAAGAGGGAAGGAGAGATCACCCCGAAGTTGCTATGTTCAAGGAATCTGTGGTCATTATGAACAGAAAATTAAGTCTCCGTAGTTTTTCCTTCATATTTTTCATAGAGATTTAATGAATTTACTGTCAAGGAGTTTACCGTCTAATGGTTGGCGTTTATGGAACCAATCATTAACTCAGAAATCGTGTACTCCCATTGTCACCGGAATAGTGTCTCTTCACCAAAGGTGGTCTAGTTTATCCAAAATTTCTTAAAAACCTTTATAGCTCCTAAATTTAGAGACTGTACTTAGGGTTTTCGATTACAAATTCTGGAAAGTGAAATCTAAGCGCTTAAGTTCTGAAATTGACTTGAGGTATAATGATTGCTGGAGGTAGGAAATTTTATGCCCAATTCCCTAAGTGCAAGGTGAAGTAATGCAGAGAAAATTGATTTCTTGCCTAAAACCGGGTTTTTTTTCCTTTTTTTTTGGTTGAGATTAGTAACTTTCGCTTACTGTTAGCCCTGTTCTCCCTTTCCCCACTTGCAGGATTGTACCTAGAATAAAAAGGAATGCATGAAATGCCAAAGAATATTAAAAAATACTCAGTTGGAATAGCAGTGAATAAATGAATTAAAGACTAAGAGAAAAATGAGTAGGTAATAAAAAAGGGAAAAAAACAATGAAACATATGAAAAACCGGTGGATAAAACGTGTTTTGATACACGGCAAGGACGGAAATTTGAGGAAAGTTTTTGACGTATTCGAATTGCAGTTGCATATTTAGTTGCATTCAATTTTAAGAACATGAATATCATATTTCATAGCCTGATGCGTTTAATATTGGTAACGGGGGAAGGGGGTGGAGAATCAAGCAAAACCCAGAAAAGGGGGGGGGATAGTGAAGAAAAATTAATGGAAACGTGTGATAACAATATTTCAGAGGGAGAAATTGCCGCGGCTTAAGTGGACAAATTAACTGAAATGATCGGTTACCGAGCGAAACATGTCAAGAAATTCACAAGACGAAAAAATTAACCGTCCGGGTGTTTCGTCGTTTTCACCCTCATCTCACTAGCGTGTCAACGAACTGTGCTCGGCTGGTAGTGCATTCAGACGACCTGGTGCAGCCCGCAGGAAGCGCAGGAGCCGAGGGATGGCCAAGGAGGATGACTCAACGGTCAACCATGGGTCAACGTGGACCGTATGCAGGATTCGCAGCCCAGCGGACCGCGGCGCGCCCGACCAGGCGACCACTGAGCGATGAGAGGGAATAAGGAGGGAATAAACTGGCGTTCTTCATTCGCCTCTCAAGATGGGATATGAATACGAGTGTCATTGGCATCGCCTCTCTGAGGGCAATCGAATTAGACGGCTAATCGATCGCGTTCTGGGATGGGTATCGCTTTCGCCGCGATATGCCTCAGGTATCGAGAACTAAGAGCGGGCGCCGGACAAAAAGATTTGGGTTTGCGAACGGAGAGGGCATTCGAAACAAAAGGCCTCTCAACTCGCGAGCGAGGAGGCGATGCATATGAAATCCTGGAAATCGGCGTTCGCTCTTGAGAACCCTCTCGACCCCTGCTCAATCTTGACCCTTTGGCTCAGCTGTTACACTTTTTTTACACTTTGAAATCCACAGGGCGGAAAAAAAAACTCTCAATCAAATTGCCTGGCAAAATCGCTGTAGCGATGCGATTTGATCCATGTAGACTTTGTTTTTCTCATCAGTGGAACCCTTATAGGTATGATTCACTTAGCCACTTTACTTAGAATAATCAAACGAAAGTATCAAGAAATCAATTTTTTTTTTTTTTAAATTTTATTGAATTAAAATACAAAATCATTATTTGAACATAAAAAATAACAATATGTAAGCAAAAATATTATTTCTCTTAAATACTAATCTCATCTTTGTTTAAATTTTGGGCAGGCAGGAGGTAGAGACCTATCGATACTTGCAGTATCAGCTTTGTTGCTCAATGTTTACTTATACAATTTCATGACAGAAATAGAATTGTCAGCCAAAATTTTAACATGTTCATGTAACAAAAGTTGTTTAGCAATGTCACAAAGAAAATTTCATAAAAATAAGACGAGTCAAATCCTTTTTAGAGCTGTTTTTGAACTTAAAAACAATAACAAGCTGGAATCGCTGCTACTCTCTCTAAGAGGAGGATTGATAAAATGTAATATTGCGTTTAGTATATCTGATGATCCCGCGCTCATGTTTGAATCTCCTAACTCAAAAACAACCTACCTCAGGTTATTGATGATGTTCATTTTTTTTTGGCGAAAAAACACTCCTTTTCTGATCGTAACACAGTTTTTATCGTCTCCTGAAAAATTAAATTTTTCCGAGATGGGTCGTTTCCGAACTGAGAGATTCATTTGGCTTTGAGTGGTATTTTTACAAACTCATGGAATGTTTACTTCCATGTAATGTTAGAATACTGCGTTTTGTTCATCTGATAATACCGTGCCCATATTTGGCTTTGGGTAGTATTTCAGTAACTCATGGAATGTGTGTTTCCATAAAATTTTTGACGACAAAAAAAAGCCTGTTTAAATTTGAAGCAAAGATCAAGCTTCAGTGACATTTAAAATGACATAATACTTAGAGTGGGTTCACTTAATTTAAAAAAAATAAACAAAACAAAAAAACTAAAAAGTCTGATAGGAGCTCTAAAAACAGTACACATGGCAACTTGGTTTCTTTCTACTCTTAAAAGATTGAAATAAAACTTCAATAAATCTATGAGCAATAAATCCTGATGACATGATTAAACCTGAGTTCTAGATCGGGATTTGAACTTGCGGCGGATAGGTTGGTGTTAGTTTCTACTTTCAACTTTCATGCGCAGTAGACAGTTTTAGCGATACCCTCTCAGAGAAAGATATTGGTTTTCGATATCTGTGCACTACAGCAGTACGGTGTCGTCATACTCAGTCAATCCTCAATCCTCAATCCCAATTAGACAACAGCAGCGCAGTCGCGTGCAAACAGAAAGTAAACTACTGTCAAGTTAAATGATGTGAGTTTTACAAAGTTTGCCCTGGATAGATGAAAAACTGGTCAGAAACATCAACTCATCTTCAAAACCACCAATTTCTGCCTATTTTGCATTGCATTGATTTCCTATTAATAGAGAAATTATCAACCGCTGATAGTGCTCCTGGACTTTATGGAAAAATGCAAGATTACACATAAAATTGTTGACAATTAATGCAGCATGCTCACTTCTGAAACCTTATTTCTAGTTTAGAAACCCATCTCAGACCTTAGGGTTAAAATAGGCAGAAAACTTAGAAAGATAGATTTTGCTAAAGAATTTGAATGCAAAATATTGATTATTACGAGAAACTATTCAGAAGCAATAATGTAAATCTTACTCTTGATTAAGTACGATTTCTTCCCCTGTTCTACACTGCTATTGAGTAAAACGAAAAGAATGTTGAGATTAACTCAATAATTTTGGTTTCATGAATGAAACAAAAAAGTAGTAATATGGCTCTTGTACAACCTAATGAGCTATGTTTGAAACTTTTCCCATTCATAAAAAAGTTTTAAGATCTATGTCCACAAAGCAATAACTTGAGGCTGAAAGGGCAGAACTGACATTCTTGGAAAAATAAAGTTATTTGAATTATTAATATGCTCGAGATGTGTGAAAAATTTCGTGGCAATATCTGATGCGAGACGAAAAACTCCAAAACTTAAAAATAACATCAGAAGCAATTGAGCCACCAAGAATTTTTCTCATGATATTTTAAGGTGGAAAAAGTTTATTAGTTATGACCTTTTTCCTCTGAGCTACTGATATAGTTTTCAAAGATAGGGGGACAGATGAGCTATTTTTGCACCCAGGGAAAAAACTAACATCTATGGTCGAAAAAATAATCAGTCAACCCCAAATCAGCAGCAATTCATTTTTAGTTAGCTTTTCACTTTGTATGTATGACTGACTGCTTACAGTGCCATTTATTCTTTCATCACTACTAGAAAGTGCCGCAATTTGCCTTCCGCCTACTTTGTCACCAGGAAAGGGTCCTTTGCAAGTTCAGCTAAAGCAAAATCAACAGATTTTTCTGCAGGAAAAATTACGTAGAAACTCGATGGGTGCATTGAAATAGAGTCTAAAAGAGACTCCTTACCTTACAATCTGAGTGAGATATTTGCTCGTTTTTTAGTTCCCCCTTTTAAAAGTATGCTCAAGTATTTAAACATGGACGTAATTTGATACAAATGAGACTTACAACTCCTCCCAAAACTTAAAATGGCTGTTGTATAGTAATGCAGTTTCTCCATTAAAAACAGACAACATAATGGACGTTTTTGTATCTTACATCCTTTCATTTCTGATTTCCAAGTTTCATTTTATAAGAGGAAGTTCTTTTATGGTTGTACGTCTAAGTTTCTGCATTATTTGATGGTGGCCAATGTAAGTTTTTATGTGGAACCATGGAGCTGGGTAGACTCGTCTACGTCAAATTACATCAAAATTACAGTTGAATATCTTTTAAAGCTGGAACCTTACAAATGCGCAAATTTCTTAGGCAAATTGTGAAGTATGGAATAAATTTCAGGCTTTGTCAATGCACTTGTTGTGATTTTAGAGCCATTTTGCCTGAAAGGAACTCTTGCTTTTGCTTTGACTGAAGTTGTAACGAATCCATTGCAACTATTCTAACCCCCCCCCCTTCCTTAACATTCTGCTGATATCAGGAGCCAGCCTTTACAAATGACTCCTTAAATCTGGCCCCACTCAAAAAGCAATTTTCAATAGACTGATTTAGTGGCTATGTCATAGTTTTATGAATACAGTTTCAATGGTTTATGTAGGCAGACACATAAATTTGCCGTGCTTGTGCCTTGGTAGTAAAATACATCCCGATGTTTACTACTATCAAAATTTCTTGCATTTAATGAATTGTTAATTGAGTAATGACTGGTTGATGACAAAATAGTGATGCAATAATACAATTAAGTCACACAGAGTCTGGACATGGACCAAAAGGATAGATATTTATTCTCTTGGTCCATGATCAAGACAAGAGTTTACGTTTGTCTGTTTAGGTTTGAACCATCACAAAAATTAATTATGCAATTTAACGCAATTATTGATAATTGATTCATTGAATATTGCAAGAATAATATAGCCACTAAACCAATCCATACTTATCTTTTGCAAGAATTGCGAAGTAAGGGAAAAAATCTACTTCCCCAAAGATCTTGTTTCAAAATTGGTAAATACATATATTGAGCATGCTATTTTGATCAAGAAAGCACCTCAACATCTTATGAGAAACAAAAATGTTTTTTCCACGTAAAATTCTTATTAGAGGTCAACTTCTTCACATACTACAGTGGTCACTGCCTGGAATATAACTGCACAATGATTGAAATTAGTAAAATGGCGAGAGCAACGATTAAGCTTGCAATTCGTAAAGTTGGAAAACTGAAACCCTGTACAGTTTTTGCACCTTGTAATGCGAACTCTGCGAGTCTTTCATCACTGTCCAAAGAATTGCCTGAAAAAAAGAGAGAATAACCATTAATTTTTAGGAACTAAATATCATTTCAAACGAGGCTTATGGGACGAGGAGAATAAGGGCATTCCTTCAAAAGCAATAATGTCCATTTTTCAGATTTCACTTTTAACTACCCAAATTTGAATCGCAATGAGTCTCATGCAAACAGGAGAAACAGCCAACTGAATGCACTTACTAAAAATGCATATTTCAGTATGGACATGCAAAAAAAAATTGAGTACATTTCTTATGAATTTAGCTTTTTTCCTACTGACGAGTCCGGCTCGACCCTGTTTGTTCAGCTCTCAAGGACCGAATACATATAAATCACTACTGGGTATGAAAGATTTGTTAAAATAAAAACAGCAATAAAACATTCAATAATTCTTAGGAGAAGGAAGCCAACTATGTGCCCACCTCTGGAGCTATTGTTTAGGTAATCTTTCCCCTGGGAGCTGGCCGGTCATGCAAATTTTTGCTGGTCTTTTTACATCCATTTGGTCAGGGTGCTGATAAAATCCTCCTTCTCATTCATAAACTTACAACATGCAAAAATATTCACTGAAAAGAAGTACTTTTTGCCTAGGACTTTTACACTGTTACACATACCTGCTTTGCCTTCAAAATTCTTGTTTATGAGCGTGGCATCAACTTTCAGGTCAAGAAATTCTTGAAGTGATTGATGTATTTCTGAGACTCCCTCTCCCGGAAAAAGGTAGTCATAGAAATTAATGTCTGAGTTGGCAAGAGAAATCATGACTCGTCTTGGGGGCTCATGGAGAACAGTTCCTAGAGATAGAAAAAAATTAATAGAATGATTAGAAGCAAATAATGGTTAATGGGTAATTGAGAATGAGCGATGAGTTAACCCAGGATTTAGATAGATGGGTCGGGTAATGTTTTTTCAAATGTCTATCAGTAATTTGTCAGGGTCAAAAATGTGACACTAATTACCGATGTTCAAGAGAAATATTAAAGACAAATTTTTACATTGCATGATGAAATTACAGCCATACGGGATGCGTTGTCAAAGTAGTCTGTTTGGGACCTTTTGGAGATGGAGTTACCCCATGCCATACAGTTGGCGTTGTTGAACTCCGTTTGAATTACAATTAAAATAGGAATGCCCAACTTTTCTATCAAACACTCAAAAATCTTAAGGGATCGATGGGACTGTTGAGTTGCATTTAGTAGACAGAGGAATTGGATGAGTTTACTTTGGCAAAACTTCGGATAATGACTTTCGAAAAATCGTAATTGAAAACTCAAACAATTCAAACTTAATAATCATATTTTAATGTATTCTGAAGCTAAGACTAAGGTGTCAAACGATGGTAAGCACTATTTTTTTAAGCTTTATGGCTTGAGTCTTAGGTATACATTACCAAGGCTTATGCTTACACTGAATGCAAGAAAGCACTGTATTGTTTTCTGATAAGAGACATGTTTTAAATGAGTAAATTATAAAATAGATGAATATGTACAGCACACTTTTGATGTGATTCACCATATCACTTCATGAGGACACTCACCATCAGTCGGAGTGGCTGCTGCTTCTTCTTCAATGAGTGTTTCATAGTGCATCTCCAATCTTGAAAAAAGGGACCGTAATATATCTTCTTTTAAAATCTAGCAGCAAAAAAAAAAAACATTAGCATTAATAAGCACACAATATTCCGTTTTGAAAATTTTATTCCAGATATGAATTTCTTTTTGAATTAGGCGATTCTGCTCATATTTCTTCGTTCTAATTTGGACATGAGGTTATATTTTATTGTTTCAGCTCAAATCAGGACGGATCAATTAGGTCAAATATTGCAATTATCACAAATTGGTACATTGAACGCAAGAAAGATGTAACTGGAGCTAGACTAGAGCCAGAAAAAAATGTTCTTGTGACCCGATCCGTTAGGAGGTCATAATTTGTAACTTACAAGTTTAAATTTAACTAGGGAACTGCGCCTCCTGGCCGGTCCGAAGTCCCGATCCCCAGAGGCGCTTCGCGCCTCTAATGTGCAGTTATCGTGGGATCGTTAAAAGATCATTAAGAGTTAAGGATAACCCGGTTTGTAGACAGCGGGAAGCATATGAGAGTGCGTGGTGGGAGGGGAGCGGGGAGTAAGTCATTCTCCATGATTTTTCGTATTCGAAAGCAGAAGATTTGGTTCAAAATTTAATGTCGTAAATTTGGATTGTGTCTCATGGAAGAGATGAATTAAGAACGGAAATTTTGAAACACCGCAATGGAGATACGCGGTTTTGCACTTCAGTTGGTGCGATACGGACATCCAACAAGCTTAAATACTTGCATCAAGTCCCCGTCACCGCCGACCAACGCGTTTGTCGATCGAATCAACTACAGGTAGTATGAGCAGGGAGTCAAAACGCCTTCTATTTCTGGAACGCAATACGGACATCCGTCGAGGTTGTATAGTTGTATCACGGCGCCGTAGCGAACGCGTCCCATTGTTTATCGTTACAGACGAAAATAGGTTGAGAGAGGCCAGTCATAATGCTTTCAATTTTATACGTACATATTTTTGGGCAAAATGAGAGACGACGTTTCTCCATTTGCGATGTTGCAGACTTCCTTAGAAATTTTATTTTTCTTTCGAAAAGCTGGTCAACATAGAACTTAAATTCTCCATGATTTTTCGTATTTGATAGCAGAAGATTAGGTTCAAAATTTAAAGTCGTAAATTTGGATTGTTTCTCATGGAAGAGATGAATCAAGAAAGGAAATTTTGAAACACCGCAATGGAGATACGCGGTTTCGCACTTCAGTCGGTGCGATACCAAGATCCATCACGAACCGGTTGGTTTGTGACATGATTAGCGTTACACCCTCAGCGTGACATGGCACCTTTATGATTTTATACTATAGAATAATATTTTTGATTGATCTCCACGAGTCAGACACCAGCACCTGTTGCTGTCTGTAAATAAGGAATTCTGTTAGCTCTGTAACCTGCTGCTGTCACCTATGTTTTGAAAGGAAAAGGTCTAGAAAAGGAGATAGATTTAATAGTGCTAAACAAAAAAAAAATTAAAAGGCTCAAACTTATTTTAGTGAGATGAACACTTACCTTAATTCCATCACCCACTGTCCCTTTTTCGTGGACATAAATATGACTTTCTAAAACTCCGGAGCACTTCAATTCTAGACTTTTACATCTGCTGTATGGCCTTATATTACAAACTTTATTGCAATCCTAAAACATAATTAAACGCAAAATATTATGAATTTGACACTTTTCTGAAAACTGAGCCAGGAATGTAGAATTATAGTTTCATAGATCCAAATTTCTTGGCTAAGTGCTTTAAGATGGTACATTGAAAGTCAGCTTCAGCGGTGTAGTGGTCAAGGCAGTTCGCTGCCAACACTGAGGTCCCGGGTTCAATCCCTGCAGATGACAAATATTTGAGGACACTCAAATGTCCGTCATCGTGACCGTGGATAACTATGCCACTCTAATACCCTGACCCTACGAGGTAACAGGGTGCGGGAGGGACATAGTCACCCAGTAAGTAATTCGTCTGCACTGTTCGACTGGGTTGTGAAAAATCGATAATCACTCGTAGGGTGCACAACTGCCAGTGCTACCTAGATAAACATCATCAAGAATAGAGGTGAACTATGCAACTTCAGAGCTGACATAGATGGATTGAGCGCATCCTATCATCAGTTTTTCTGTGGTAGAGAAGAGCCTCTATAAATTCTCCTTGGTGGGATTAGAGATTGGCCTATTATCAAGGAGGTGATAGTGCCCCTCTGTCCATATTTGCTCTGTTTTTCAGTTTACACTGATTCCTACCTCGGTCAGTTGCATGCTCATTTTCTCGTTTTAATTTTTACATTTTTAAGCTTCTGTTCCGGTTAAGAATGGGCATGTAATTGGCCCGAAACGTCCTAGCTGTTTCATGTCTCCTCTAGCCTTGTATACCCATTTGTTTTTTGTATTTTAGTGTGTTTTTATTGTTTGAAATTAGGTACATATCCCAAAGAAATTGAAGGATAAACTAAAATATCTTGCAGTGCAATCAGTTGTTCATCCTTTCATAATATTGAAGAAAGCAGCTTCGAGTCTTCGCATTTTTCTGCTCTCTTTCCCCTCATGCAGATTGTTTTTAATTAAAAATACATTTCAAGACACCATTAATTTTATGGGCCCAAAAGCAAGAAATATGACTTTACCTGGTAAAAATCTACGATGTGAGTGGAGAGAATGTTTGCAACTTTCCTTTTGCCGGAGCCAGTTTTACTATCTGCTAATTTGGTTGAGAAGACATCGCTGTCATTTCCTTCTAGATTGCTTAAAGGTGTCGACTCAGCTCTCATATGACTGTTGATGGTAAAAATTGATATTTCCAGATTGTCTGCAACTGCTTGCACAACTTTCTGTAGGAATGAAAAAGATGTTTAGAATTACTTGAAAAACAAAAAAATTTTTAATCGGACATTTACATGTATGATACGAGGTCTGTTAGATTAGAAACCGGATTTTGGTCATAACTAGCCTACAATGCGTCCAATTCACGTTTTTTTGAGCTTTTCTGATAGCTGGAACTATACGTAAGAACGCTACGTTCACAAGTTTGAAAAATCCTAATGAGCTTCGTTGGTATGTAGCTTGAAGTAATTCAACCTCAAGGGTGTTTTGCGATTTTTATGTTTCACCGAACTTGTTTCTCTTTTTTCGGTCTTGCACTACATTTTTCAACCCACAAGGACGATTGGAGTTTTGTCTCCATATCGTAGCCGTACACTAAAATATTGTCACCGAAAATTATCCTATCCAAAAATATAGGATCACTGTTAGAACGTTCAAGCAGCTAAAGGGAAATTGATATTTGGTTGGATTTTCGTTCAACGGACAACAATCAAGAGGCAAGTGTACCTGAAACTTGATGCGTGTCTATATATTCTATCAAAATTGTATGTACAGAGCCTTCAGAAATATTACTCTGTTCAACAAGCTCGAAACGACCGTTTTCGAGCACTTTTGCCCGCATTTCTTCCACGTGACAAATGTCAGTTGCCGTTGAGGGTCGATTCCCATGCTCCTCATCTTTGACGGACTCCTGACCAGTTTTGAATCGTTTAAGTAACTCATTCAAAACAGTGGGAACATCTCATACAATGATCATGGTAAACTTTACTTAGCGTATACCAAAAGTTTTGGTACAAGGTATACCGAGTTTAAAACAAAATTTAACGTTGAATCTTTGCTCTATCAGTGATCGCATGATGAAAATCGCAAAACGCACCTGACTTACTCGTATTCAAGATGACACAGAATAAACACTGATCAAAATAAATCAAATATGTGAACGTAGCGTTCTAAAGTATATTTCCAGCTATCAGAAAAGCTCAAGAAAACGTAATTTCGACGCATTGTGCGCTAGTTATAACCAAAATCCGGTTTCTAATCTAACAGACCTCGTATTTGTGAAATGCTAGTGCTGAACATTTCAATTAAGATAAATGTCAGTGACATTAAATAAGTTGGGTGAACTAAATGATCTTGAAGATGGTGACTGAGAGGTCAGAAAAACCACTAAAAGCCTGCTCTGTAACGTTTTAGTGGTGACTGTTACAAAGTTTCTCTGAAAAATTAAAGGATTAAACCTACCATAAGTATATGTTTTCCTTACAGAGAAAAAAGTTTGTTTAGGATGATGCTTTTACATTCAAGTAAAACTTGACAAAAGTGACATTTGCACTTATCAGCAAGAGTGGCCGGTCCCGTTTTCATGTCTAGAAAATATATTTTTTACTTCATATCATCAACTTCTTGTATCTTTTCATTTGACATATATCTTCCTGGAACATCAGTAGATTTCGATAAATAGATTTCAAGATTGTGTTTCAGTGAGCAGTGTGAGAGAAGACTTGACTACTCAACAAAAAAACTAGTGTTAAAAGTTACTCACATCGAATTGGCTTTGAAGGGATTGTTTCAAATTATCAGGACTGAATTGAATTGAACCGACGCTATCTAGATTAAAATGGCACTTGAGTTGGTGCCACCGGGTTGGTTGTGAAGTGAATCTCCATTCTACTGGTTTCAGATTTGAGCTGGCATTTTCCACGTTAAAACTTTTGCAGGAATACCTATGGACACAAGAAAATAAATTGGGATAAATACATATCATGCATAAAATGATTTTAAAATTAATTAAAAACTTTTCATGAAATCAGTGGATCTGGGTTCAAATAGATGTGGAGGAGAGTTTTAACTTAGGAATAATCCAGAAGTGTAACATTTATCTGATCCTTGCCTACATGAAACGCAGGACATATTCCTTATAAATTAACACTGGCATCTTTTCTTGGATTAAAAGAACAATTTTTACAATTTTCCTTTAAGGTTTACGTTTCAATATAATACCTTTAAAAATTGTGGGATAAATTTTATAATAAACAGAGATACTCCCATCTTTTCTTACAACTGTGAAGTCACTGGTACTTTTTAGTTTCTTCTGAAGATATACTCCTCATAAATTCCTATTTTCTTCTGGCTTTTATCTTAAAAGTACATTATGCACCCTTGTAATAGTTCAGAGTTAAACTTGAATCATTTATAAGGGGACGGTATGATGGGTCCGCCTCCAAAATCAATGATTTCAGTCTTGTCAGTATGAGCGGTTAAGAATCGAGGTATAATGAATGCGCAGAGGTTTTTGCCAGAAATCAAGATGTTAGGTCTTCTGTTATGTACATTTTAAAAGTTTAACAACTATCATAGCAAAATCTAGAATAATAAGAGTTTGAACTCTTTGCACCTTTTAGTGCATATCAGATAAAGACATTAGAAAAATAAAACTACCTGAGAGAATTCCTAGCAAACTGAAGAACTATTTTTTCCGAGCTGGTTCCATTGCCAAACAAGAATTTATCTGCTGTTAACTTTTTATGAATCTGCACGACTGTAGATCGAAATTTATTCTGTCCTGCGGTGTCAATAAGGATATCATCTGGTCCGATGACAAAAATTCCCAAGACTGATATTCCGCCAGGGAGCATGCGTGTAACCTGAAAATGGTAAGAAAAAGGATTTGGTTAAAAGAATCAGTGAGATGGAAGGGTGAACAAACAGATGATGCAGGAATCAATGGTCTAAAAATTTGATCATTAATAGAGGATATCTGCTCTAAAGCTGGATATCCTTCTTTAAGTACAAATGATGTTTAGAATGATGTTAATCTCAAGAGACAGGCAAGAAGGGGACATGATGGAATAGCAACGTGTGCCTAGACAAAAACTCTTGGAAGTTTTACAAATTCAAAAAATATTTTATACTTTTAAGTATAAAGGGTGTACACTCATGGGCTGTGCTGTACTATTCTACCCAATAACTAATAATCTTCCGTAATAAGTAATAGAAACTGTGGGTTATGTTTTTTCCTTCACCAAAAATAATACATGAGCAGTAGACACTTACAATGTAGCGATCTGAGATACAAAATTTTTGACCTTAGTCATCGATATGTTGCTTGTAATGACATCATGAGGAAGCCACATCAAAAAACTTTTGTTAAGGGCAGAAATAATAGGATACTTTTTGCATGGGAAGCTCTGAATAATAACCAATTGGAAGTTTTTGCAGAGAGTGACAAAATAACATACTTGGATTAACTTGGATAAATTTAGGATATCATGGAAAATACAAAACTCAGCATCCAAGACACACAAAAATTTTAATTCTTTATTATACCTTTGAGAAGTAGCAAGGATACAAAGACAGGAATAAAATAAGTAATACGTAACTTACACATTTTGCATGCTCAGCAACCCATGATTCTTGCAAATCACTCATTTTAGATAGAGATCCTACTTTCACTGGTGCTGAATCTTTAGTTTGAGTTTCATGAAGAGGCGTCCGCATAAGATGCAATACATAGTCATTTTCATTTATTGTCTGGAAAAATATAGCGTTTAGGGTTAAATACATATCGGAGTAGACAATGACACAAAATGTATGATCACAAACTTAACAAAGTATTTATGAGTTTACCTTTTGAATAGAACCCAAAAAATTATGATTGCCCTTACTTGTCAAGTAATTGCCTAGTGATCTATGAGAGGTGTAATTACTGAATTTTTAGGAGCTATAGTGCCACTATATGGGTTGGATTTCATGAAGTCTATCTTCCCATTCAAAGTTGTCAGATGAAAAGTTGAAAAAAATCGATGTTGAGAGGCCATATTTTCTTTCCGGTTTCAAGGCAAAATTAAAAAAATATTTGACATTAGAATAGGTAAGTGAAGGAATCAATAGGTGCTGTCATCCTGAGATCTTTCTCTATGTGTAATAATCATATGATGCATTCTGTTGCTCACTTTCAACTTCTATAGTCTAAAAATTATAGTTTAGAAAAGCTTTTTAGGAACAAACAGAGGAAAAGGAGATCAGGTTGGTTATGAAAAAAGGATTGTTTCAGAGACATCAATACATCGCTCTTTTAAGTTGCAGTTATTGTCATTGTATATCTGATGATTTCTCACAGAAGATTTTGTTGTCACATGGTCAAACCTTCCATTCAATTAAGTAAAGCAGTTCTAAGAAGGGTGGACAGTTGGTCATGCTTCAAAGGCCAGCATTGAGTAGTTAATAGTGAACAAGCTGTTCAGTTCCTGGCAAAAATGTAATTTTGAAATTAATCACTGGCAATGCGAACAGATGTTGACTTGTAAACATTAAAAATCATGTGAGTCGAGATTATGAAACCCTTGTGTTCATGAACTGTTCCCAAGCAATATCAATACTTAAAATAGATAATGATCAACAGAATTTCTGGAGATTTCACTTACCTGTCCAACTATCAGACCAGGAATGAAGCCGACAGAGCCTTTTGCTAAGTCTGTCAAATAGTTCAACAGAACTTCCTCTGCGAGAACAGCTTTCCCCATTTGAACTGGCGTATTGCTAGGACGATGAGAGAACGCCTTGAAACTGGACTGGTATGAATTTTTATGCTATAAAATATAGTTGCATATCAAGTGTAGCGCATAATATTTTAGTAATAGTTTGATTAGTTCCCACTATTTGCATAACACCGAGCTACATGCATACACGTTCGCACGTTGATACCACTGAAACTTGTGAGGACAGAAAGAACATCACCGAGAGGCCACGAGTGAGGGTTTATCCGATAAACTCAATTTTTTATGGGCGATTGAATTTATTAAATTGAAAAATTGCTTTGATTAACGAACAAGTGTTATTGCGATGGAGAGAGGAGAGGAGAGAGGTGGAACGGAATTGAGGTTAGGTTTGATTTTGTCAACACGACACAACGTCATCAGCTGATCGAGTCTTCTGTTGCATTAACCAATCAGCGAATCGAATCATTTTGTGCGTTAGCCAATCAGCGAAGTGATTATTTCCCGCTAAATTATTACCGCTAAATTTAATTTTGCGGGTGGTAAGACACGCGTGCGTCTTGAACTATCTCAAACGAAGGGTTCCGGACGCGCGTTGATGACGGCGCAGAAATACAACTATTCGCACGTAGTGGATGTCCATGTTGTATTTGCAAAATTGAAGGTGCGATGCCGGGAGCCGGGAGCTCGTGATGCTTCGCTTTATGCTAACAATGAGGTGTCGCTCAAATTCGGGAGGAAAGTTAAAAAATAAGGCCCAAATGCGTTTCTTGTCCTAGAGATCCAGAGAGCGTGTGTTTCCTAAACCCGGTTTTAACTATCTTGGACTTGAAACATTGCCCGCATGAAATGTCGGGTTTTTTACTTAAAATTTGGATTCTGCGACCAACAAAACATAGCGCTATGTTTTAGGAAATAAAACCGCACTTGGCGTTGTTTCATGGTAATCGTTTGATCATCCTTCAATCACCACCGGCAGTTTTGGCTGCCCTCTTGAATTGGCNGGGGGGGGGGGGGGAGGTCTTCGAATGGAGTGTCGTTTTTTACTTTAAATTTGGATTCTGAGACCAAAAAAACACAGAAATCAATATCTCACTTCTGTTCTCTTGATTTGTTCAACCTTGCGGCCGCAATTTTGGCTACTTCTTAAAGGGGGGGGGGAGGGAGTTGTTCGGAATTTCAAACATGGATTTCTTTATCCTGGACATCTAAACCGCGTATTTTTCAGTATTTTTTATTCCACCATCATCAAGCTTTAGATAAGCAGCCATACTAAACGCACAGAAAATCGATCAAGAATAGTGGAAACCTTTGCATTTACTATCAAATTTCAAATTGCGATAGCTCGAAAATTCACCTTCAGCTGCGTCTGCAGCAATTGTTGTTACGAATGTGTTGTGCGTGCTAATTTCAGTTCATTACATACTTGCCTCTCTGAAGGCATTTCATATGCGAAAGTATAGAGCACCCTTTTGGAGAACAACAGAAGTGAGATTGAATGAATGGGTCAATCCCTACTTCGTTCGCTCTCGAACAGATAGCGCTACTTGCGCACATCAGACGCCTTCAGAGAGTCGAGTACGTAATGAGCTGAAATTAGCACGCACAACATATCGACGGTGAAACTACCAAACCACGTATCTCGGTTTGCGACGTCGCAGACTTCCTGTCATACTTTATTTTTTAAATGAAAAACTACTTAACATCCAGTCTTGAAAATTTCTGTGATTTTTCCTCTTTGTGCGGAGAAAATTCCGTGAACATTTCAAGGAATGATATTGATTTGGTCTACTTCAAAAAAATAAAATGTGAGCGTAGATTTTTAAACACCGCAAACGAGATACGTGGTTTGGTAGTTTCACCGTCGATATTCGTAACAACAATAATTGCTGCAGACGCAGAGAGAGGCGAATTGTTCAATTGAAAAAAGAGTATGATTGTAAGTCTGTGTGCAACGACATTGTATGTATTCAATCGACATGAATCGAACGGAAAATAAAAACGTGAATCGATCGACGTGAACCGATCGACACTGATTCAATGGACGAATAAATGGAAAACCCCATTAAAAGTAGAAAACTTGCATGTGTCGATGGTGAAACTGCAGAAATTGGTATCTCGGTTACGGTGTTTCGAAATTCCCGCCCATATTTTATTTTTCAAAAGGAGACCGAACCATCGCATGACTTGAAATTATCACTTGAAATGTTCCAATGTAGAGACGAAAAGTCTATTTTTTAAAAAAAATGGCATTCGTAGTTTTCCATGTAGAAAACAAAGTATGACAGGGAGTTTGCAACGCCGTCAGGATATGACTTTTAATTCGTATACTCGGTTACTTCTTCATTCTCCGCCCGGCTTGGGCATCCATGCCCAAGCCGGGTCAAATTGACCCGAGGCTTACTAAAAACACGTGGCTCGTTGATTGTGTAGGACCAGCGCATACGAGCTGCAGATACCTTGGTTCAAGTTTACAACGTCGTAAAAAAGAATCAGACATCACATTGGAAGAATAAAGTATTTTCTTCGGAAAATACACTGAAAAGGAAAAGAAATCGAGTGGCACTCAACAATATAGTACCTGTATACGGGAGAGAATTGCCATCTCAATCCTTTTACTACAGAAAAAGTGTGCAGCTCTCTGATTGGTCTGCTATCATAGAGCCTTAAAGTTGGCTCAATGTAAACAAACCCCAGTCTCTCCTCTCTTAGTTCGGGCCAAAGTAGGCAAACAAGATGGCGACAAAGTTCTACAGAGTTCTAGACGTGATTTTTGATGTGATAGAAATTGATTTATGGTCAACTTCTGTATTGAATTTAGATCGAATTTTGGTGGATATTTTTGCCGAAAATTAACCTTTGAGTTTGATTATCATTCATTTCCCAGCCGATAATACGTGTTCCTCTGGGTCGGGTATGTTTACATTGGGCCAACTTTGGAGCTCCATGATAGCCTAAACCTGATAAACCCATCAGAGAGCGGTACAGAGATGGCGATACCCTCCCCTCCCGTATATACGTATGTACTCCTCTCAACACAACCTATGATAGAAGAGACGTATTCGGGCCTCGTTTTTTAACTTTGCTCCCGAATTTGAGCGACACCTCATTGTTAGCATAAAGCTAAGCATCGCGAGTTCATGGCTCCCGGCATCGCGCCTTCAATTTTGCAGATGCAACATGGACATCCATCACGTACGAATAGTTGTATTTCTGCGCCGTCATGAACCCGCGTCCTTTCCCATGTTCTATTTCCATGTTGTGTTGGAGTCGGTTTGTCTTGTTTGCAAATGGTGTTTCAACTTCAAGGGCTTCGTGAGCAACATGGCCGAAAATAGGAGTGACGTATATTCCATCACTGATCGTAGATCAACCTTCATGTCGACGGCGTAAGTCTGCAATCACATATCTCGTTTGCGGTGTCTGAAAGTCTCCGCCTCTATGTTATTTTTTCAAAAGAGAACAAAATTGACATCATTCCTTGAAGTGCTTGCAGAATTTTCCTCGCACAGAGAAGAAAAATCACGGCAGTTTTAAAGAATTGCCGTTGAGAAGTTTTCTGTTTAAAAAATAAAATATGGCAGGAAATATGCGATGTCGCAAACCGATTTATGTGGTTGCCGACTTACACCGTCGATATGCCGCATGTAAAATTTTAAAATTTCAGTATTAATATGTGATAAAAAATGTTTTTGAGTGGGAAAATCGTTGAGTAAGAAGATCGTTAGGTCTATGATTAACAAATATAAATACGAATACTTACAAAAAATTATTTTATTTCTACAAAGTAGTTTACAAATAATGGTTAGTAGCTGACATCGCATAAATTGCTAAATTAGCTCAATAAACCGAAGTGATTTTGTACTTGACGAGTCTTCTGCGGACTCGATAGGCTCCATAAAAAATTCATTTTAATGCTATGAAATCCATGGACTTGCAAGCACAGTTTTAATACAATTTTGGAAAAACTTTCTCAAAAGAAGAACTAATACACCTTCACTGCCAGAAATATAAAAAGTACTCAGTGATGAGGCAGAATCAATGTGTTTAAATCTCATTACCCCTCAAAGATTCAAATTAATAGACATTTAAGAATGAAGTGAGGTTCATCCGTCATCAGAGCCGGATCCAGCAATTTGGCAACACCGGATTTCCTCCATTTAAACCTATGCTAAGTAATCGATTCTTTTCGGGGCAGCTGGCCCCTCCAAGAATCGATACTTTTCCATAAGTTTAAACGAAGAAAAGATAATGTTGCCAATTCACTGGATCCGCCAATGTCCGTCATTCATCGTGGAATCATTACTTCAGTTTATGCCTTACTTTATTTCTGTTTTTTTCCATCTTCTTTCGTCTTTATTATTTTCATTATTTTCTACCTCTTCGTCTTCGAATCATGAGTAGGCCTTTCTATTCCATTAAACGAGGCTGAATATTATAAATGATTGTTTGAGTTCGGTTTGAAGATACTACTTCAAAAAAGTTTGAAAGTAATACATTTCTGAAGTTTCATTTATTTACAAAGTGTAAGCTAAAAAAACCCATAGACGAGAATGACTACCATAATGAAGTTACTTAACAATTATAACAATGACTCAACTGAATATTATTATTTTTCGGATAAGCTACTATCGAAACTGGAAGAGAAATTTTTTTGTTAAAGGTATTCATTATCGATAAATGTGTATTTACAGAGTTTGCGATTATGTACAAACGTTTTTGGCACAGTTTTTTACTTACTCACTGACTTACTTACTTACTTACTTATTTATTTATTGCTCAGATGTTAGCATAAAAAAGTTTCCTCAAAAATGGTTAAAAATTGTACAAACACTAATTTTTACTTTACCTGTTGGCTTCATTTTTTTGCTCGTAAGCTCAACAAAAAGGTATGATGAGGAGAGCCCCTTCAACCAGTGAATAGGCAACAAATACAACACTCGGGCTCAGTAGCAATAACACCATGGAAATATCGCAATAAATTGCAATCTGTGCTACTTGGGTACAGCTGAAAGATTGACGCAAAGCAATGTGTCTAAAATTTCTTTAGGCGATGCCCCTCTTTAAACGATGGGTGCTTCGCACCTTACTTAAAACTGTAACGATGCTTAAAGCCCGTATTCATATTCGCTTGTTTAATAGTTCTTTTCCATCAGGAGGCCCCATGATGGTTTGCATCGTGACTATTGAAGGTGTAAGAAGGCCCTTTAATTTCCAATCAAAAATGTCGCGGGTTTTAAAACTTTCAAGGTAGGTACCTCTCTATCTACCTTAAATAAAATAAAAGAAATTAAAATCAAATACAGATAATTTCTCTTGTGAACCATATTTTTTGTAATGGCAAGTCATTATAACTTTTTCCGAAAGCCGTGCACTTGAAATTCGAGATTCATAACCACTGTTCTTTTTATGATACCTACTACTTAAAAGTTTCTGGAGCCCCCCTTAGTGACATTTTAAATCGCATAAGGCTTCCTCAGGGACTTTGGACTTTTTGAGGAACGACTATATGAATACGGCCCAAGATACATTGTTAGAGAATGTTCTTTTAGTGCAGCCTTCATAATACAGCCCCTCGTAATGACAACATGCTATTACGGGCAATACTGCAGCACATGACAGAATGTAGGTTATGTTTCAGTAACACTCCGAGTCCGGTAGATTCTCCTCGTTGTCCATGAAGAGGAAAAGGCTTTTACGATCGTTTGAAAACCAGCTTTTGGAGGACTTGCGAGTAGGGATAAGATGAGAGTTCCCGTGACGTCACTTGCAGGTGTACAGCTCGATCTTCTCGGTGCAGATCTCGCAAAAGACTTGGCAACACCAATGGAATTTACAGCTGCACTGCCAGGATCTGGTGATTTGATGCGTGTTGTAACCTCGGCCGCAGCAGAGCAGATCGCACCCGTCAGATTCTGAAACAGGTTGTACTCTTCATGAAATCCATCAAATAATTGAATAATACCCACTTCACAAGGAAAGGAACAACCCAAATCAAGTCGAAACCAATGAGGAGAGTTTTAAAGTTTTATACCTTCCTAATGCCGGAATCACACGCTGAGCTTGGCAGCTGAATATGAAGGTCAACAGTCATTGCTGAACGGTTGAAATTTCGCAAATTCAAGTTATTTTCATCCAGATTTGTATCAAATCCATTCGAATAGTTTAGAAAAATCCGATATTATCCGATGTCACTGAGTCTCGTTGGTGAATTACATTCGAGCCACATTCAGCGTGTGATTCCAGGGTTTGACTCCGCATCAAGAAAAGACAATCATATAGCTCTCACTTTAGCTCTGGTACACGGAGAAAAAAAAGTTCGTTCGTGGGACCCGAAGTTGAGGTCATATGGATTTCTGAAGTTTCCGGATCACGTATCTGAAAACTTGAGGTCCAGCTGCCGAAGTTCGGGTCAGACATCTGAAGTACTTCGATATATACCGAAGGGTTCGGGTCACACATCTGAAGTACTCCGGTACATACCTTGTATAGACGCTTGTACACAAGCGGCTTATACGCATGCTTATAATATTCATTTTAGCAAGATGCAGCACTGAAAGAAAAATCTCGGTGTATTTACTAAGAAAAGGGTAAAATTACCAAGAATTCAGGGTTCTATTTGAACCCAGTTTTTTCTTAGTAAAATTACCATTTATGGAATTGGTAACTTTCCGAGAAATCTCGGTAAAATTATTGAACTTTCTCGGTAATTTTACTTGACCCCGGTAAAAAAGCCAATATTTTTTATCTATTGTGGTAGAATTACCGAGATAAAATGGCTAAGTTACCGGGAATTAATTACCAATAAAAGTGGTATTCTTACCTGAAAAAACAGTAAAAATACCGGTTTATAGGTAAGCTTACCAGTCTGTCTTGATTAAATTACCAATAATTGGTAAAAAAATTGAGATGGTAAAGGTGCCAACGGACCTTGGTAAAAACGCCGAGAATTTTTTTTCAGTGAGGAAGTGTTGGCTCGTAGGTTTGATTCTTATATTTCTTAACGTCCCATTTATTCCCATTTATTTCCAAAGTCGACAACCTTGCGCTTCTTTGGGATGGTCGGACTCTGCATCCTCCAATCGAGCTCTCATTGTCAGGTTGTGGTGGAGATAACGAAGCTTTGATCGCCCCGAGACCCGAGATGGCAATGGTTAATTGAAACAGAATTCGAACTCCAGTCTCGCGATCCACATTCTCACCGCACACTGTCGCTGCATTCAACCGGTGTCAAGTCGACAATGCACATTCATTGTGCGCCAGGTGGTTTAAAACTATGCGTACTCATGCTTGCACAAATGCGAAGAATCAAAAAACATAAACAGTTTTCCGTGTATTCCTCTCATCGGGTGCCCGAACCATGACCCTTCATTCAGCGAATACCTTGCTGAGCAATTCTTAAGGTGATTCGACAGACGCCATTTATTGTGTCAGAGCGACTTGCGATATATCGCATAGATTTGTTCCCTAATTTCAGCTACTTGTCATTTTTTCGAATTTTGAGCTAGCGCTTCTGTTGTCATGAGACTAAACATTTCATGTACCAAAATTGACGAAGAAATTCAACGTAATAAAGGCATGGTTCTTTTAGAGAAAAAATATCACATTCGAGTGCAGTTTCGATATCAGTATTGAATGCGATATTTTTCCTCTTAAGAAACCCTGACTTCATTACGTTGAATTTCTTTGTCAAATTTGGTACATGAATTTTTTCGTCTCATGACAACATAAGTGTGATCTCAAAATTCGAAAAAAATGACAAATAGCTGAAATTATGGAACGAATCGATACGAAATAACGTTCGTCGCTCTGACAAAAAAAATGACGTCCGTCGAATCACCTTGAGATATTCACTCTAAGGAACGAAGAGATGTGTTAAATTAGAAATCTGATTTTTACGATGACCGCAGCCTACTGTGCATACGAATTAAGTTTTTTAAGACTCTCCTGAAAGCCGATAAAATAACGCGACGGCAATGCTGGACATGACTGCTTCCGCAATTTGACTTTTTTTATCAGTTTTATCGGTGAATGGTTTGAGATAAGGCGTCCTCACAAGTATTCTGCGATATTTGGGGAATTTTCAACGAAAAGTAATCACACATTCACAATTATTGTTTTTAATGAAAAATTTTAAATGAAATTTGCCATTTGTAGTAAACTAAAGATTGACTATATGCAATGTTGGCACAAACCTATATACCATACCATGTCTAGTGGTCCATTGATATTTTGTAAAGAAGAGAAGAGGTCAAAAAGACTTTAACCCAATGCTAGAATAGGCTTCACTGGTCGCACCTTGTGGTCCATTGGTATTTTGTAAAAAGACTTTAACGCAAGGTTAGAAAAGAAGGATTCACTGGTCGCACTTTGTCTAGTGGTACATTGGTATTTTGTAAAAAGACTTTAACGCAAGGTTAGAAAAGTAGAATTCACTGGTCACACCTTGTCAAATGGTCCATTGGTATTTTGTAAAAAGACTTTAACGCAAGGTTAGAAAAGTAAGATTCACTAGTCTCACCTCGGAGGCCGTCCCTATATTACGTAACGCTCTAGGGGGAGGGGGAGTCTGGGGGAGCGTTACGCTTTTTCCTTCTTACGTGTTAAAGAATAGGGATTTACGTAAGAAAAGCGTTACTGGGGGAGGGGGGGTCAAAAATGCCGAAAAAGTGCGTTACGTAATTTAGGGACGGCCCTTTGTCTAGTCTGCCGTGCTAACGAAGAACGCCGTATGAACATTCAAGAGTTGCCAAATTTCCTCCGATAAAATGTTTATTTTGAGGAAAGTTATGCATATTTTACCTTGAAATTTTCAGATGTTTTAAATGAAATTAAAAACACAATTATCTGAAAATATAAACAAAAGATATTCAGAATTTACCTAGTAAACTGGTGTTTTATCAGAGGAAATTTAGTCATACCCGAAGGTTCATACGGCGTTTTTACTTAGCACGGCAGTTGAATCAGTGAGAACGAAAACACACCAACTCGGTAACTCGAAAATGCTCAATTTCCATCACAGACAGTTAATTTACATGAAGATCATTAAAGTTAGCGCATCTATTCCAACTTGGACCTTTAAAGTGTCCATAAGTGCTTGTCTTTCGGCGGCATAAATCTTTTTCTTAAACTAACTTCTCCACCTATTCCGCAGTTTTGTGTGTGCCTTGACTATTTTCATTTTTCCTAGTTGGTATGTTTTCGTTCTCACTGATTCACTTGTGGTCCATTATCGGTTAAGTTGTTGAAAGCATACTTACTACTAGCATCCCCCATGGAGGTGCGATTGCAGAATCGGCCGACGGTGCCGAGCGAGCCCATGCTGAGGTTGCGCTCGCAGTAGTTGGGCGAGGACTGGAGGAAGACTAGCTCGGAGCGTTTCGGGGTTTTCTGGACGGAGCGGGCCCTGCGGAGGGTCAGCTGGAGGGGCCGCACCTCCCGCGTGGACGTCTTCGACGCCGAGGGCACCGGCACCGCCGAGACCCCCCGCGCGCGCCAGTAGCGGTGCATCAGATGGTCCCCGATCAGCCGGAACGGCGGAAGGGTTTTCCAGCAGGTTTTCATCGTGCAGCTCCCAGAGACCCCGTGACACTTGCACTCCGTCTGCAGACTCATCTTCACCGCCTGAAACGGACATAAGTTCGCATGCATCAGTGCTATTCATCGCAGGATGCCGTATCCACCAAAGACAAAAAAAAGCACTGGTAAAAGAAAACACATTGGATCTAGAGTCCAGACTCTTGAAAACATTGACAAGAAAAAGGACTCTTGATTCAATCAGATTTAAGCTTAAATCAAAAGGAAATCCGCTCAAATTAAGAGGCTTGGTTCTTGATTTAAGCTTAGATCTGATTGAATCAAGAGTATTTTTTCTTGTCGATGTTTTTAAGAATCTGGACTCTAGATCCAATGTGTTTTTTTTTTTTTTCCAGTGAATATCACAAGTCGTCGTTTCTTGTAAGAATGAACATAACTCCATAGTTTACGAAATTGACTCAAACAATTCAATTTTTTACAAGAATGTAATGATGCAATTTTCGTCCATAATTTTTCTGATTTTCACATGAGATTAGAAGAAAAATCGATTAAATCAGTTCAAATTATTCAAGATACTACGACTACTACTGCTAATAAGTCGCTCTTATAGCGCTTCTAAGCGCTCTGCGACACCAAACCGCCACTGATAGCGATCCTGCTAGAGCTCCTCCGGCAGATCGCATCTCCTCATTTCCTGCCTTATTCCCTCAATCCACGATTTTGCAAGTCCTCTACGTTTTCTGCCAGGGAGGACCCAATCCAGAACATTCTTAGGCAACCTATCATCTGGCATCCGTTGCCCACAACCATACCAGACAAGCTGTTTTGTGAAAATGTCATGCACCATGTTGTTTTCGACGCCCATAATTTCACGTATCCTCTCATTCTGAACGTGATCCTTGCTCAACACTCCGGCTGATTGGACCGGTAGTGCATTTTAGTTGCCTTAAGAATGTCCTGGGCTCGTTTCTTCAACTGTCATACCTCGCTGCCATTGGTTAATATGCTTTTGATGATGTAGATTATCATGATTCTTAGGGTAAAAATGCAATTTATGAGTGGAAATTTGGCAACATTGGAATGAGGTTATTTTCTTTCGTGAGAAAAACGACGTGGTATTCCTATTTAAAGGCTGAAGCATTATTTGCTAAGCATTTAAAGTGATAATCTCAGTGTTCAATTCAGCGCACATAGGCTTCAGTCTCTCTTGCCGGCAAGAAATTTGAAATATTCGAGCCAACCTTAACCGAGTTAATGTAATTTATTACTTCATACCTTAATATATATTTTCTTATTTGTTGCTTTTCCAAACATGTATAAGTGAGTTAATGTAAAGCTGGGGAAAGCTATTTAAGAAAATTTCAGTAAGTGTGAATTGTTAAGCCAACGTTCGTTAAAAATCAGCATAAAGCTAAAAATCTCAATACTGAGGGGAAAAGCTCATATGAGCACAATTTTCCCTCAAAGAGATACGCTGTATGTGTTTGGAGCAACACTGGTGAAGATACAGCGTATATCTTTGAGGGGAAATTGTGCTCATATGAGCTTTTTCCCTCTGCATTGAGAAATTCGAGTTGATTCTGATTTTTAACGCACGTTGGCTAAAAAATTCCAACTTACTGTCTTACGATCCGTGCGTCTACCGCAATCAGTTTGTGTAAAATATCAGTGCTCAGATAGTTTAATGTGCACGTGATTTTCAGGTGGTGAGGAAGTTGAAATAATTTCAAATTTAGCTAATGTCTGGTGGCCCATTCCAAGAATAAAGGCGCAAGATGGAGGTAATTTAAGCGTCCAGTCAGTTACCGGAGCCGCGACTTGCCGGAGCAAAAGCGAGAAACTTTTCTGAAATGGAAAACGTCGGATTCGCATTGCGGACGAGTCAATAGGGAGGGGGGAGGGGGTGGAAACGTCCACTTTGACGGGGCCGCGTATTGGGTCCGGGGAGTAATGGGACGGATAAAAAACAACGGAGACAACATAATGGAACATAATGAACATTGTTCGCGACAGAACCGACTGTCCTCTGACCACTGTCCTCTGTCCGGTGTCCACAAGCAACCACTGTTGTCGCTCGAGCGGCCCAAGGAACAAAGCCTCTGGCTTCCCATTCACAGGGGTATTAAAGCTCAAACACCAACGATCCCGTGCTATGGAAAAACGCCGTATGAACCTTCAGGCGTTGCCAAATTTCCCTCAGTAAAACATGTATTTTTGACGACATTCATGCATATTTCTCTTTGGAATTTTCAGATATTTTAGATTAACCTGTGTACAAAATTGTCTGAAAAATTTGGAAAACAATATTCACAATTTTCCCAGTAAATTCGGTTTTTATCTAAGGAGACTTTGCAACATCTAAAGGCACATAAGCGTTCTTCTTTAGCACGGCAGAATACTATGGTGAAACGTCGTATGAGCCTTCAGGCGTTGCCAAAATTCCATCTATAAGAAACGAATTTCCTGGTAGACTTATGAATATTTTTCTTCCAATTTTTCAGGTAATTTTGTTCGCAATTTCACCTGAAAATGTGAAGGAAACACTCATAACTTTTCTCAAAAATAAACATTTTATTGGAGGAAATTCGGCAACTCTCGAATGTGCATACGGCGCTCTTCCTGAGCACGGCAGAACGTGTATTTGTTAAATGCTCTTACACGTATACAAAATTGATTTTGTCAGATGAAAACTTGGAAAATAACGCGATAAAAACGCCAAGGAGGCCTGAACGTTACTATTATTTTTTTGGTAAAAAATTATTCTACCATAAGTTTACTGATAACAGAGAATGTTAATGTACGAGAAGTTGGAACCTGATGATCAATAACATTATTTTTTCTGCTCAAGCAGACGAAGTCCGGAAATGCTCGTGTTTATTTACTTCAAACGTAGATATCGACGGCGAAACTCCCGAACCATGTTATGACGTCATCCACCGCGGGAGTGACACCCTTGGTTTGTTCCACCTTACTTTCCTTAATCAGTGAGACACTCATTTTGCACTGGTTACTCAACGTGAAACTTGAATGCAAGCAAGGCGGAAGAAACAAGGGGTGGATGACGTCATAAACCAACTTTTTCCAAGCGCGATATCTCGGTGAATATTGAACGGAGAAATTTGTCATTTGGACCGATCCTGTTATTTTTCGATAATCTACAAGAATCAAGCATCAAAACACGATTCTGTGACCAGCTAATTTAGGAGAATTTAGGAGAAGGAGAACATTCAGGAGAATCACTTAACGCCAGGAGGAAATTGGTGGGAACTTTTTTTGAGGGAGGCAAACGCTTTGTGCAAAGTAAAGCATTCACTATCATACCTTGTGGCCTGACCCTCCGTAAAAAAATCAAAATGTTATCCGTATATGAGACGTTGAAGCGTCAAGTCGAGATTGTCCCGGATGATAAATTCAGCTCAGTTTTGAGGTCTGATGAAGAATTGGACGTATTTATGCTAAAAGGAACTATGTGCATAGGGTTTGCATGCAACATAGTTACTTTTAGCATAAACACGTCCAGTTTGCAAAACGTACGTTTGCAAGACCGAATTACATCACTTGCTTTGTCCTCGTAGAACTTTTCCCTATCCTTTGGTCTCACTGCGTGGTGACTCCTGTGATTCTTTCTCTCAAACAGGAAGATTAATCGGCGACAGTAGATGCAGGCCGAAACGCGCCCTTTGCACTCGACTAGAGAGGTTGCTAGACCTACAGAAGACGGGAATAATTGCGAGTAATATGTAGATTTTTATTTACATTTTATTGTGAGATCTGGCATCGTGCGTGAGAATCTAGCATCTTTCCAGATCTTAGGCATCTTCAGTGCTAGACATCAACCATGAGCTTGCGAAAGTTAGTCAAGTAAGCTTTTGAATAAAAAAAACAGGGTTGCCAAGAGTTTCTTGGATTTTTCGGTTCTGATACGTGATAATTAAGGCGACACAAAGGAAAAAAATAGCTTGTTTTCGCCTGGAATCCTAAAAAATTTCAATCTTACCGAGTCTAAATTCGTGAGATATTTATTTAAAGTTTCCTCTTGCCTCTATGTACGAAAAGTTTCCCGCGCGATTATATCATTAGTTGTTTCTAGGACGAAGTACTGAGTGAGTTGAACACGTAATCAGTCGCACGGAAAGTTCAATATGGTACTATGTACATCTTGCAATTCCTGAAATTTGCGAGACAGTCAACTGTGACTAATGTTTAATTATTTCAGAATAAAATCATCTAACGGTTTCTCGAGAAAGAGGGCGGTGGTAAAGAATTTTTGCGGGTTATAGTGCAATTTTCCTGAATAAAATTTTGTGAAAAAACCAAAAAGTTCATTTAAAAGTTTAAAAAAATCATTTTTATGGAGAGGAAAAGCCATTCAAAATCCGACCAATCAATGGCCAACAAGTCTAATTGACATAGTAAGGTGCGATGCCTGAAGCTAAGTTTAGCCCATCAGCAAATGCCCCCCCCCCCCGGCTAAGTCATAAAAGCCCGCCAAAAATATCGTTAAATGAGCCTCATTTTTAGTATTTTCAAAACGGGGGTTCTTTGCCCATTTAGAGCTGAAAAGCTGGACAAATTCCTAGAAAGCCTAGTTCACCGCGTATTAGCAGGAAATAGTAATTATTGTCATTTAAGTTGCGACAAAACGTCTATCGACTGTTTTGTAAGCATAAGCCGTCGTACGCTTTGCCACTTTGATCCATCCTCACAACATAACGATTGGACCACATTTTGTATGGTTAGGAACTAAAATTTCTGTCTTATTTGAGAAACAATATATGTGCCATCAGTTTCCCTATGAAATTACCTGTTTTTATCTACGAGCCAGATATTGTAGTTCCTTATTGTAAAATGCAGACCAAGTGATGATTACCTCAAATATAAGAGCGAAATCTCCCCGTCCGCTCGCTTTTGATTAGCGACCAGAGTTTAAGAACCTCCTAAATTATGAAAATGGTTTGTGGAAATTTTCCCCCTATTCTTGTGATCCTGAGTTCCTGCCTTTATTTTGAACTCTTGAGAGCTTTAATAACAAGTCTTAACAATAAATGAAATGAACTACAGCTTTATTTCTGGCGCAGGCAATAGCA